GGCAATCCCGTATAATCCTAATAGCTTCCGGCATTGCTCCCAAGTCACTCGCCATATCAATGAGGGTATCGGGCCATACTTACTCACAAAAGCCACATTCTTTGACTGAAAATTATTAGGCTTCAAGTAACTCCCTGTTAACTACGTGCGGTTGCCGTACTAGATTGCTGTCGATATCAGGCAAATAAGGGTAGGAGTTATGGGCTATGGGAATTCGGGATCCCTAACCCCTAGCATTCTTACCCCATCGAAAGATTTAAAATACGATATATAGATAATTCCCGGAACGACTGTTAACAGAGTGCTTGCCAATTACTTTGCTACGGGGTAAAGAACAATATTTCCGGTACGTGGGAGACGACATTCCGTTTCGAGATTACATGAAGGAAAAATCGATCTAGGGCATAGAAGAAGTATATTAATGTAGAAAAATAAGTGCAGAGGGGCTATACTGTGAGGGTGTTGGGGGTGCTATCTGGGATGTCGGGGTGCTCTCTGGGATGCTGGCAGTGCTCTCTAGCATGCATTCTGACTGGGTGGGTGCTGCTCTCCTTTGTTTACGTATTACTTTCGCGCCCCGACAAGTTCCTCTCTAAACTGTTGACCACTAATACTAAAATTTTGAAAAGCATTGAGGGGCGAGATGGAGTCGAACCTGTACCACATCCACCGATACGTCGCAAGAAGTAATTACCTCCGCTACAACAGCAATTGGTTTCCTTTGAGCGTTGTCCAGTGCTCTGGCAGTTCTTGATTGTATGAGGTCCCTTTCCAACAGTCTGAGACCTCTGCATCTAACATTAAGGCGAGGGCTTGAGGTTCATCATACAGTTCATCTGTAATGGAGCCTTTTCAACTGTCTGGTGTATGAGTACACACAGGGCCCGGTTACATGCTGAGAGTTATTGTTAGAAGCCAGTTGCACAGTGACATGCAAGTACCGGCAGTGTGGTTAGCTACCAGCCGTCAGAGTAACTACATTCTGAGCGCTAGGAAGAGGATCTACTCATGGGAGCAATGACTGATGAGTCTGTGCCTCGCCAATGATTAGAAGGCAGCCAGAGTGAAGCTCTGAGTGCTCGGCGATCCTCTACATCCTCTGAGCATGTGAAGTCCGCCGGTAATGGAAGGGATTACGCCTGGGAAGTCTACAATAAGCGAAAGCTCTACAGCAATGATTAAGCTTACACCTGAGCGGCAGCTCATTCATGCAGGCCCCAGTTGTGTGGCAACAAAGGCTGCAGGTGTTACAAAGCTTTGACTAAGGGTGGTTGCTTCGGAACCGGAAGCACTCGCTGACGCTTAGAGAGAAGCGCGGTAGCGATGGAATTGCTTCCCTTCCGCTGGAAGGCAGCACCGGAACTTAGTAAGGAAGTAGGAGCAGAGAACAGAGTCCTTTGGAGTATAAGTACTCAGGATCATTCCCGCCCAACTGTCCGGAATCCTCATCGAAAATTATCAGAATCATCTCCTATTATCGGTAGCAGAGCCCTTAAGGATTATTGAGTTCTAACGATAGTATCTTTGAATAAATCTGCACCTGATTTCTATCTTCCACGGCCGCATCTATTCTATTGGATTCTAGCGATACATAGATAGGCTGCCCCCGTTACATCATCCTCATACTCCTGAAAGCTCTCGTAGTCGTTCTTCGGAGCATTATAATAGTCTGAGTAGCGAGTATAATTATTTCTTCCGCCTCGGGTACTTAAATTGCCTTAGGCTCCTTTTGTGCTTCAAAATTGTCAGTATGCTACTCGGGGAAATGAAATTCTACCCCCGAGGACTGCTCCTCCCAATGCAGATTTCGGAAGAACCAAGAAAACCTTTCCAGGCTATTTAGGTAACAGTTGTCAATTGACTAGTCTGAGTGCAGGTTGGCAGTGGGGTTAATAGTAAGGAAGATATCTCACGGTCATCAATCTCTCCATCTTCCTCAAATCGTGTTGAGAGTCATAGGCGCTTTAGTACATGAGGTGCTGCACTGGAGGGGTACTTGTAGGAAGCCATTCTGATAACTGTTAGGAATATCCGAAGTGCTCTACAAGCACTCGCAATATCTTCAATTTGAAATCAATTCTTGACGAGAAAATCTGCACCGCTGTATTCATGTTACAGGGATCCTCCGGTGTTACAATTATTTCCGCACTCAACCGAATCATTATTACCACTTGTTTTACTGCACTTTCTGAAAAGGTACCGCGTTCTTTTATAACAATTTAATACTTTGATTCCACTTTGAAATAATAGTAATGCAATGACTACCTGCACTAATCTAATCAAAACATAAAAATCAGGTCTACTCCACCGTTTGATTCCTGTAGGACAAACCTTGAGTAAATGTAGTAATATCGGGGTATGTATGATTCATTGTATGAGGTGGATTCTGCGAAGATTAAGAATGGTTCATTGTTCAGTTCGGTTTGTTCGATGATAGTAGATTAAGTTGATTGAGCTTGTTAGGTTTCGGCGAACTGTGGGGGGGCAAAAATTCCTGTTGTTATGATTCTCAAAAAGCATATGTTCAGGACGCCTTATTGCAACATGATGGATATACTGCGCCAGTTGGAGACAGGAGAGACTTGTAAAAGTCTTCTTTTCCTGCCTGCAGAGCTTGATGGGGTAGATAAGCATAAGGGGGTTGTGTATGACAGTTTATTAGTATTTTGCTATGGTTACAAAGATTGTTTTCCTTTATTAAACAAGTAATTTGGGAGGGATAAGAGTTCACAATTCAGGCACAATTGTGTCAATAACGTTCTGTACAAATAAATATTCGATAAGATTTTAGTATATCCTGCAGTCTATTGACACACATCATCGTCTTTGTAAAAAATTTTATTGGCGTTGTTAGGATCGTAAGTTGTTAATATTATATATCATAATTTAGTTTCTAAGTATATTTGAAAATTTTCGTTAGGTTTCGGGGTTAGCGGCTTTCAGACAAAATTAAAATGTTTCAAAAGAATTCAGTTTGTGGCTCGGAAAAATTAATCCAGTAAGTTACCAGAAGTAATTAATTTTCTTGAAATTTTGAGCAACCCTAACCAGGAGATATTTAAAACCAGAGTGCAACAATACAGAATATGGAATGTCGGTCATGGATTGTCACTCACATATTGGGTTTCAAGTATCGCGAATATCATGATCCGAGATTGAAATCCGAATTACTGTTAGAAAACACACCCGGCGGTAAGCTGGAGATCAGAATCCGAGTCGGTGCAATAAAACGCACCGGAGTCAAGGAGTGGGATTCGCCCAATGCGGTAACCCGGAGGTCAGAATCCGAAATTCATGTATTCCATCGAAGCGGAGGATGGGGAAACTCGACATCGTTAAATTTCGAGCGCCGTCATGATCGTGAGGTTGAGACGGTGCGTTCGGTACCATGCAGGCATCGATCGTGGTACCCGACCGGTGAGTGACGACACCGGAAGTGCTGCAGGACAGGCCGCCAAGACTCACAGGGAGTTACCCTACCCAACAGCCCCCAACCACCACCTACGCCCCTGCCATCACGACCACCATCCCCGGTACCTACATATTTGACGATGGCGATGGACTCGGGGCGGCCTATTTAATCGGTAAGCACGGAATTGGGAATTGTGGGGCGACGGTTCCCAGGCAACCTCAAAATCCTGTCCGACATTCTCCTACTAGAGAGCTACACGAAGGCGACTGGCAACACCCGAGCCACAGGAGGCATTGGCAGATGAGAATTTTCAGCCAACCTCGAACGTACGACCTTATACGCGAAGTCAAGGCCCAGCGATCGATATTGACCGGGCTCACAAGCGACAACGGAACAGGCGGGACTAAGCTCGATATCTTTCCTTACTCTATGACTTTTTCCCACAGGGTTTTTATCATAGAAGGGTTTTAACGGTCGAGGACGACGTCTAGGAAGGGGGAGTAGTGTTACAGGAACTACGGAACACTGTCCTAGAGGCTTAGAACAGTGAGGATTACAAGTGGCGGGGTATGATGCGAGGACGGTCGGGTAACGGAAGGACAAGCATAGAGAGGTATCGGGTAGTGTGGGGGTACGCGGTGTTACCACACTAGTCCTATACTATTATGACGGCACGCTTACTATTGGGTGTCTCACCCGAAATAGAATAGGAAGCGGGGCTTACGGCTGCAGGCTGTTCTGCTTAGGGAAGTAGGTCTAGGATAATAGTATGGTACTGCCCGATGACTGGCAATTGCAAAGTTCATGGTTACGTGTCGGAATTAGAATGGAGGACGGAACTATGCGGGGGCGCTTTTCTATCTGGGTTATCTTCGGGAACGTTATCTTATTCTATTATCGTTGTGTCAGTTAGTATTAGAAAGCGGGCCTTGGCATAGGTTCGAACATGTATAAATAGGGCTTGATTATGCGAAGACTTGAGGGTATCATCAACCATCAAGTCAAGGGAATCCGGTTTACAATATCATCAGTTTAAACGCTACAGAATTATCGCTTAGCACTGGCCATTTCCCCAAACAGTCACCGCCGAGGGACGGTGAAACCAAGCTTGATTGGTTGGAAGTTGCCCAAAGACGTCTGGAAGTGTTGATAGCATCGAGAGGCAAAGAAGATGTATACTACGCCCCGCGCTTTGGTTTCTTAGGGATTGGATGGCTACTCAATCTAGTTTTACACAATCCAGGAAAAACAAAGACCTATCATTTTCCTCGGTCACAACTTGGGGGGTGGGGGGTCTTAACCAAGAGGGTAGGCACCTCATATTCATCCTCGCATTATTCCATGATCATACTTTACTTTGGAGCCATCTTTCGTTGTTCTTTTTACTGACGCCTATACATAGATGCTCTGTACGGCTGCCCAAGAGCGAGCAGAAGCAGAGAGATCATTATACTTATCTTGCTATGGGCTATTCTTCTTTGGTGTTCCACACAGGGGCTTCAATACGGAGACTCTGAGAGATTTATGCCCAGGTGAAGAGGGTAGGAAAATGATGCATGACCTAAGCTTGGGTTCTACGTTGATGAAAATGTTTCAGGATGCCTTTCGTTATGATTTCAGACATCCCGATTCTGTGATCATTTCGGCGTACGAAACCATGGGTACAAAAACGTTTGTCGAAGTGGGCTTTCCCGAAGATATCTGTTTACAATTTCTGCTGCCTACTGACTATCAAGTTGATAGACGGAGGATGGACACTGGGAACAGACCAGTCCTCCAGCTTTGATGGTACCCCAATACTCAGCAACAGATGCTCTCCCGACAGAGAACCGCTACGACCACATCCCGCTCGCTGCTGACAACGAGCATTTGATCAAATTCAGTAATGGATATAACAGTACTGATCCCGGTATTGTCCGGGCAAGAATAGATAATCTCGTTCAGGAAGCCCCTGAGGTGATTCGTAAACGTTTTAGTGTACTGGAGAAAGAACGTATGTAGCAGAGCACCCCTAAGCCAGGATGTGAGATTCCGTGTGCATGTGAATACTAAGTTTAGATAAAAAGGGAACCTTCAACTACAGATCAACATGTATACAACTTACGATTCTACGAGTCCTCTGGAATCTCATTCGAGGAATTTGGATGTTATTCCTGATTTTCTCCCAATACCAACCCTTTGACATTTGCTCCCTTGCTAGCGATAACTAGTGTGGTTGAAGGCGTACCCTCATACGCGTAGAAAACAGAAGCGGGGACGATTATTTCGTTGTCAATGGGTGTGAAAGATGATCGGGGAAGACACTCCTTTATTCTCAGTGGTACCAATGGGAGAAAGGTGGTGGTGAGAATACTTGTAGTTTATTACATTGGTTATATACAAAGGAAACGTCGAAAACAATTTTTCTTCTCTGAACCCCTATTTATCAGGAACATAGTTGAATCGGTTAAGAAATACAGCTTGCAAGGCTCTCATTCTAGCATGCGACTTTTGGACAACTTGATTACAACATGATGTATTTACTCCATTATATTGAAAGCCACGTATATTACTACTTTGGACGTATCTCCTGTTGAGAACGTCTTCATCGCAGATCTCAAATAGCCGCCTTTAGCTTTTTCAGAGTACTGATACTTAATACACTTTATTTAGTAGGTATTCTTCGGTGTTATCGTTACCATAGACCTCAAGACCTTACAGGAGGTTGAGTACGTACGGATACGCCCGTCAAAGATGAACTACGGAGAGTTATATAGCTCTCTGAACTGAACGAGTTGAGTAAACGACCCGGAATGGTCAAGCCTTAGAGTCTATCCACACATCTAGCGACGGGCATAACACACAACAAACAGATACCTAAGATGTTTTGTATTACAGAAGGCTCGAGGTCTCGTAATCGATCATACCAGGGCCATGTTTTGTTCAAAGTCTCAAGACCTATGGTTAGGGTTGGGTTGTATCAGGGTTTGGGTTATCATTATCGACAGTTTAAATGATTATAGGCCAACGCGACCGAGACAACATCTAACCCCACCGCAAGCACAAACCAAAACACAATCTTCAACAATCGCTAAGTCAAAGCCTATCCCAAATCCACTGGCGGATGCTGGGCAGTTGTGGAGTGAGTTAATAATCTCAGAGTAAGACAAAATCGTCTTTTTGTCATGCCTTAATTCTGCGGATCCGGTTATTGAGACTCCAGATCCATGCCCAAAAGGCTAACAGCAGGTTTACGGTACCCACCCATCAGATCTCAATATGCAATGTGTACAAGATATAACACAAAAGCAAACCCGTAACGCGTAGTGAGAAGATGATCCGTGTTTTGTTACACCTATATCACACTTCTGGATTCTGATATAGACCTGCTAATTCATGCGCATCATGAAATATCACTCGATGGTTTAGAGGATCCGGACAGTAGCCCTAGCCACTGCATGTGATATATTATCTGTCCACCTTTTGTTGCACATACGCGTAGAACATAGAAGTCTAACGAAATGAGGTTTACCGTTCAGACACGTAGCCGTATGTGCGGCTGACCGTGAACGTGTGATCCCAACGTATCACAGGGCTTAGCTCCTCTTGGCGTAAGTGTTATTCTGCGACTACATGAATTATGTGTCCTGGACCGTCGCTCGTAAAGCTGCTTCTCGCTCACAGTCTTCTACCACCAACACACCCACCACCAGTCCATCAAGCATGAAGAAAAAAACGCCGGAAGTGCATATATATGCTTTTGGAAGCCCAAATTATTCAATTCTAGAGATATCAACCGATGTATCATCCGCCGAGCGATTAAAACAGCGGCCGTGTGGAAGGAGTTCTTTGGCTTTCCAGCAGCTACTTGAATGCATATAGTGAGGATGGTCTCTTAGACGGCAAAAATTACCGCACCTCCAAGTACATGTCTATGGGAACCTTCCAACTAATCACATACCTGTCGTTTCTAAACAGATACAGAGACTCAATGGTTGCTGAAAAGACTCCTGAAAGGGAGACTTAACTCCCCCTTAATCCGGTGTCAAAAACAGGGATGGATGGATATCAGAATATAAAGAACCACATGATACATCCAGCATTGAATAGGCGCCGAAGTGCTGGGGAGGTAAAGGGAATATAATAAGATCTTATCCTGGTTCTTTACCTGTGGGAAAAACCAAGTTCAGTAGGGCAATCCTCTATAATTGACAGGGACTGTGTGGGTTCCGTACACTGGCGGAGTCGAGTCATGCTAGCGCCGTGAAGTCCTTCAAGTACAGGGTCACCAGATACCATCCCGCATTAACCCATATACCGATACAGCAATTCTATTATGTGGACAGGTCGTACCTTCTTCAGCAACGTTCTGTATAGGGCTTGGCCTAAGCTTTGCTTATCATGAATAATGCCTCATATTCTCACCGGGGGTCATGCTGTTGTCTTTACCACAAACTTATCCTCCCCCAGGGCAGATCAACAGGTGAGCATCACAGATTGAGAAATATAATATAATTTTGTATTTGGTGGCGTCAGATTACTATTGGGAGCGAAAATCCCCGCGATATTCAAGCAAGATTTTACACACCGATGGTATTGTTGTGTTCGGCGTGGCCGAGAATGGCCTGAGCATGGTTTCCCCACTTGATAAAATCGTTTCACACAATTACAGCCGCAAACTTAATCTCCCACATTAGTACCGGATGGTCCTACGAGGGCAGAAGGCTTCGATGCTTTCGAATCACGGGTACTTCCAGGGACTAGGTTAACAGATCGGAAGAAACGGAATTGAAGTAACGGAATTAACAAAACTGTCGACGAGAACTTCAGCTTCAGCTTCCACGGAGCTGGAGAAGCAACAAACAGATAGAACTTATACAAAAGAAAGGCTAATAGGCGTTTCTTCAGACCCGACTTTGTGTTACCCCGTGACTACAGATATCTCCAGATACATCTTTAGAGGTGGTTTGGTTAGCCGGTTTGGGCTGTTTGAGACACTGTTTGAGACATTTTCAGGGTTAGGGATATTGGCTAAACACGACCTGAGCAGCTAGCGCAACCAAAGGATACGTTATTAAGTATATCAAGAAAGGGTAGACTAACTAGGAGGAGGTGAACCTCATTGGAAAATTGAATATCAAGAAAAAAATTTGGTTGGGAGGAGGTGGTCGCGAGTTGGCCACTGCTAGTACATTACATATGGATGCGGCAACGTATTATCAACATACCCTTCGGAAAAGAAGGTAGACAGCCTTAAAGCAATCCAGGCATTAATTATTGCCCTAGGTAAACAAGGCTTGCACATACCATCCCTCCCATCGTTTCTATTTATTATTTTGCATTTGAATCGAAAGTGGTTTTAAAGATCGGTGAAATGCGCAAAGCTTGATCTGAATCAGCCAATCGACGGCCAGAAGAAAGAATATGTTTCTCGCTTTTCGGCTGGACAATACTTGTAACAACACCTCCCAATGGGGCCATGAGCATCTTATTTCTTATTCCTCAGCCCTACGTCGTTCGCAACTTCCTCATCTTACATTGCTGTGCCTGCATGTGTGCTACCATTGTGACCTCTTCATGAGACAGTTGTGGCGTTTCGAAGCCACAAAAGATAAGCGAGCGAATCAATAACGATATAAAGCTCTGCGGCGTCTGAAGGTTCATCGAGGTAGCCGACGAAATACTTTCCCGAGTATGAGTTAGCTGAAATTCCCAGTAACATGAAATATTTTGCGCTCGTTTATTAGTCGTAGTGTTTGGATCGTTCTGATAAGCCTGATGGAAAATCTGACATACACGATTTCCTAAGCACACTATGAACTTCAGCTCAATTGGGATCCAGTACGAGTGCTCTTAATCCAATTCGGACACTTCGGGAACACCTAATGGAGAACTGGATAAGCGATAAATCATTTGCTAATGTCTCAGCTTATGGAAATATTGGATAAACCTATAGATTTCACGAGAAGCTGAGCATGAGGGCCCCGATATCAGAGTTTTGCTCTGAGCGGAATTAAAACCCTCAAACAAATTAATGTCAATAATATCATTGACAACGAAGGGTACTTAAGAGCAGGTCTATCCCGCTCTTTACTATCCTCCAAACCTTCATCACTCACCAACACATTACTCTTACTCAATCCAATTCCAAGATATCTTTATTCAGATAGTTATAAACCATTTCCTCAATGTCAACCGAAACTACACCCGCAGCACCTAAGGTGATGACCGGTAATGATACCGCGCAGCAATTCGATAAGGTTTCTCAGATCATCAGAGGAGCCATCATTGCCTCGCTTCCTTGCGCCTTTGAGCAATTTATCACAATTTCCATCCCCGGTCAGATCATCGATACCACTCCCGGCAAAGCGTGAGAGTCCAGTCTCCCGAAATATTGTTTATCCCTCCAAACCGACTACTTTGGCTATAGATATGTGCCCTCGGCAAGGCCGAGTAGTGGCGAGCTCCACAAGATCCGTGTCAATGAGGCCAGGCTTGTCGATTCCATGATCCCTCTCGACACTATGATGGTAGACATCAATCTCTCCCAATGTTAATAATGTAACTCTATAATGACTGGCAGTACAGTTGGGACCCACTGGGAAAAGTGTGTCCCGAAGTTACCTTGCGGCACTCGACTACCTCGTTCCGAGCGAAACAGAGCTTACGCTGTCCCTTAACAAAGGTTAGTAATCAACGTTTCCAGTATTTAGGAGTCAAATATCACGGGCCTTAACTCTAACATCTGAACAGACCAAGACAATCAGCCACCCACCAAGTATGGTGCTGCGATGAGGTACCTCAGAAAACCGGTTGTGGGTCCGGTAGGTATGCCGACCAGGACTCCTGTTGATATTTATGTGGAAAAACAAGCGCTGTTCACCTTTGCCCAGTCAAAGTGGGACGCAATTCAAGACAAGAACGCTGGTAGTTTCAAGCTGTTCCAAAATTGGTTATATGCAAAGCTGATACCTTAGTAGCGGACTTGGAGACCAACCCTGATGAAATGACGGCTGAAGAAATGGAAAAGAGAACCACCTGGATGAGAATGGTATAGCGCTCAAACCCATACACCCATCACGTACGGATTCTAATATAGGTGAGGCAGGCCAAATACGAGCTTCAAGCTCGCTGGATGGATTGGGTTGTCAATGGTGACAAGATTCTTGATCATAATTTTGGTGAGATTTGCCTGCGCGATCCTACAATAACATATAAGGATAATTACTGAGCCATAAAACTAGCTGTTGTGGACATCTCGACTGTCATGTCACGCATTGAGGCGAGCAAGGTATGATTTTTCGCGTTCTTCCAACAATAAAATATATAATTAATTAATGAAATGTATTAAGAAGCCGTAAGAGCGTCCAACATCTTAGATCTTGTCGACGGTACTCAATGGGCCCAAGTCAAACTTGAGCCTCAGCACTGGTACGCATCCATCAGGAATCAAGTGCTTTTCTAGTTTCTAAGTAATGTAATAGGGCTACGCTGTGCAAAGAGAAGACAGATTCCTGGGTTGAGAATAACCCAGTCTCGGCTGCAGTTCTGCAGCGAGAGATTGATCGCCTGAACCTTCTTCTCGCGGCATATGGGGGTTTTAAAGACGTATGTAGCGGACAGATCATCGAGGGGTTCTTCTACTTTAACTAATTATTTGTAGTGGAATGACACCAACATCACCGAAGACCAAGGCACACCAGCTGAGACAGCGGAATCAGCGCAATACTCAAAGGAGACATATCTTAATGTCTACCGTGCCGAAGAGGATCTCAAGAAAGCTAACGTAGAGATACCGAAGAATGATACAACGATTGCTACCGTAAAAGAAAAATATAAGAATGCCGTCATAGCTCTGGACGCAATGATCAAGGCCGACACAGCTCAATGAGATGCAAAGATGAAAGCATTAAAACTATCTTCCGGGAAAGGGATCAACAACTCAATTCAAGCAAGGCTAAGGAGCATCAAATCACAGATCGGCCTGCTCGAAGATCGTCTGAAGGAGAGTACCGAGTCAGTTGGCAGAGATATCAGCCCTCACCTTGCCGTCAACCAGAAGGGGGAGGAATATAGCCTTATCGATGCTACGGAGGCTCAGAGTGAAGAGAATAAGAACCTTCTCAATGGATCAGCAACTAGGCCTAACAAGAAGCCTGATCCATGGACCACAATCTCATTCGAACATGACGCCAAAAGCGATTCGACTGCGAATGAATCTAAAGCAGTAAGTGGCAAATTCAACCTGAAGTTTGGCGGCTTCTTCGGCGGGGCGTCAGTCAGCTCTGCATACTCTCAATCGAGCCAGTCTGTATCCCTCGAGTGACTCATATCGATATTGTGTACGTCTGACTAACCGCTCCACTCTGTGCCTTGAAAACAGATCATTCCATCATGAAATGGCGAGTTCCAAGATCAAGGGTACATTGTAAGTGATAGTGATATAGTTATCCCTTATCATCACCTCATCGTGAAATAGCGGCGGTGTGCGCTGACGCAATATAGTTCGGCTATGATGGTTCGAATCTCCAGACCTTGGTAAGACTCATACTCACCTCACTCGCTGGCGGAGAGCTATTATTTACTCCTAGCAGGCTTCACAGCGAGCTTTTCCATGGTTATGAAATCGATGCTCCACAAACAACCAAGTAAGGATCATGCCGCACCTATGAATTGTTTGTGTTTCAGTGCTGATGTTACTCCTACGCTTCTAGACTTAGTCCTGGCGCACCCAAAATTCAGTCCTTGTTAGCCGCAAGAAACGACGAAGCGTTGGCAGAATATGGGCTTTTCCCAACATACCCAACTGCATTCATTGTTGCTGCAAATACCGAAATCGAGGTGACTCTTCCCCTTCACTACACACCATTATACATTTCCTAACAATATCAAGATTGCATGTGGAGAAGCCCATGCAGATGAATTCATGAAAGCATCTGCATCAAACACAAACATGGCTGTTAGATATGGCCCTTGGGGCGCGAAGGCAAGGTAGGACCAGAAACTCGCCTGACTAGATGTGGTCAAGGAATTGTTCAATTATATACTGATCTCCGAACCCCAGCGCAAACCTCAAAACTGAGAACTCGAGTTCCAACTCAAGAATGGAGGCCACCGCAACCGGAATGAAACTCTCATTCCAAGCACCACAGATCATTGGCTGGGTCAGCGAGATCTTGCCACAGTTGCCCCGAGCTAAGAAGACCCCAGAGGGAGGGATGACCGGAGGCCCTATCGCACTCTTCAGGAACCATGATTAGATTTAAATAGACATCAGAATCATGATGGCTATAGGTGATGCTTTTTAGTGAGTTTGGGGACATTAGTCCGATCCATGAAGTAGTCGGTTTTTTTCGATTCAGAATGTATGCGCAAGAGAGGAAGATTTGTGGGAATGGTTAGTGAGATTAGGATAGTTTTTGTTTTCAAATACGGTGTAGCGTATTGCAATTAAGGAGATTTAATTGATAATTTCAGCTTTTCTACCCACGGCATCTCGTAAAAATGCAACAAAATTTGGATGAAACAATACTTGTATCATCACTCTTACTGCGATTTAGACAACTGCGTAGAATTAATGAGTTAAACACAAGAAAGAGCGATTTGAGACTGTTGGATATTTGGCGTTTTAAATGATGTCCAACGGGTACGGGTGAGATGTCATGTCGAGACCTGTCCTTGTCATGTCGAAGACAGCTGTCTAATGGCAGCTGTCCGATCCGTGACTATATAGCTACATGTAGCTTATCTCTTTGTCGGGATTACAATCTAGCCACTTAACTGTCTTGTCCTCGTCCTACTTTTTTCAATGGAGACAAATCGATTAGCCGAGTGATAGCCCATGACTCACAACCGGGCAGCAAACTACATGTACTAACCTCCGCACCTCCGTACATAGGCCGCACAACCGCCAAGACAACATAAACCCCACCGTCAAATCGTACGACCCGAGACACCCCCTACCGGGCACCTTGACACACACACACACACAACTCGAACCAACCCCCCCACCCGGCCGCGGCAACACCACGCGCAAGCCCATGTTCCACAACAAGAAACCGTAAGGTCAGCTGTTCACGTACTGAGTGTCGACAAAGCTAGGTATTATATTACATATATATCGTCACTTTGGGCTTTCATTGCACCCTCCCGAGATGACAGTGCCAGCTGCTGTAAATAAATGTAGTCCCAATCAAACTACAGAACAATCGAACCAATTGGAGGTCATACAGCGCTCGTAGAGACGGGTAGAGTTTGTCCTTATATCAATTACGACTATGGTAGCACAGAAGGACTATCGATAGTATCTGCCATGAATGACGATCAAAGCTAGATCATCAAGCTGGTACCAACCAGCAACTAGCGCTACAGTGCGAGTACAACCCCAATATTATATGAGGAATATCAAGTACACCTTCAATTTGATGTCCTCGTGCGATTTAGGGAAAGAGCATTGGCTACATGACTTAAACGACATGTACACATGTACTTGTATGTACACATGTATGCACACATGTATGTGCAATTGGCTTGTGATAATCTTAGGTTTCCGCGTACGGCCTGTAGAACCACGAACAACGCGGCCAATAGGGATAGCCCCTAGCCCGGGTACTACGTTAGGCCTATCCGGGTACTCCATCAATACATCATGTACTAAATTAGCTAGCCGCTCATACCATACTTTATGAACCCCGGAGAGTTTAACTGGTCCATCCTAAATCACTCAAACCAATCCAAACATTTTCAGGAATCTACTTGAACCACGATTTACATCTCCTCCATCTCCATCACCATCAACCCCATCATCTTTCCCCGGAATATCAGATCTCTTATTAGCGAAGAACAACATACTCCTCAAACTACGACACATTTGGCCGATAAAAGCACTTTTCCAATGCCTGGGTTCATTACAAGGCCAGTCAAATTGGAAGCAAAATTCACCGTCATCGTGGTTGGTGGCTCCATCACAGGTCTCACGCTTGCACATTCTCTAGACAGAGCTGGCATCGACTACATCATTCTCGAACGCCATGAAAATATCACCCCTGTTCTAGGATCCTGTGTTGGAATCATGCCAAACGGTGGCCGCATTCTCGACCAGCTGGGGCTCTTTGATGCCATCGAATCCGAGATTGAACCAATCCATAGATCACACACATGCTATCCAGATGGCTTCAGCTTTACTAACGCTTTCCCTGATATCATTAACGAGCGGCATGTCTATCTCCTATCGTTGCAGATAAGCAGTGCCAGAACTTGAGTGCTAACTGATAAAGGTACAGGTTCGGGTACCCTCTCTCGCTTTTGGACCGGCAAAAGTTATTAACCATTCTATACGATACCCTCAATGATAAGTCGAGGGTTTATCTCGGAAAAGCGGTCGTCAAGATTGAGCAGCTAGGAGACCTAGTCCGAGTATCCACAAAGGACGGACATTTCTATGACGGTGATCTGGTGGTGGGTGCAGACGGTGTTCACAGCAAAGTCCGCTCCGAGATGTGGAAAATCGCAGACTTAATAAACCCTGGCCTGATTACTCCGCAGGAGAAGCATGGTATGTTTTAACTTTTATGACTCCTTAATTTCGCTTATGGCTAACGCGTGCTGGGGGTCTCAAAAAGCAACTAAGGCGGAATACGCATGTATCTACGGCATCTCGTGGAACATTCCCGAGCTCGTAATAGGCGATCAGGTCACATGTGTCTATGATGGAGTATCTGTCATGACTTTCAACGGTAGTCAGGGCCGCATCATTTGGTTCGTCACCAAGAAGTTGGATAAAAGATACCACTATCCGGACATCCCGCGCTTTACCAACGTTGACGCCGAGAAGGTTTGCGAAGGCATTCAGACCAAGGCTATCTGGGGGAAGGTCACCTTTGCTGATATATGGGCTGGCCGTGAGAGTTATTGGATGACAGCATTAGAGGAGAATGTTTTTGAGCATTGGCATGTTGGTCGAGTCGTATGCTTAGGCGATAGCATTCATAAGGTCAGAAAGATATCGTTACTCCGCAAACTGATACTGACACATTGTAATAGCTCACTCAAAATATTGGCCAAGGAGCGAACTGTGCCATAGAGAGCGCCGCAGCTTTGGCAAACTCCCTACATGACCTCATCAACGTTCGAAAGATTCACAGGCCATCAAACAACGAGATGGAGACATGTTTGAACTTGTTCAGCCAATCACGGAAGAAGCGAATGAAAGCTATCTGCAAGGATGCTGCCTTTGTGACTCGTCTAGAAGCTCGTGATGGGTTGCTTTGCCGCCTCATTGGTCGCTACTACGCCCCATATTGTTCGGATTTTCCTGCGGATGTCGCCTCAAAGCTGATAGCTGGAGCAGTGATGCTCAATTATATCCCTATGCCCAAAAGAGCTGGGGGTGGTTGGATGGTAAATTCTGCGATAGTAGGAGCTAAGGATCGGACCGGAGAAGCTTGTTCCTAAAGGTTTGTGCCCTCATTATTCTGGTTGCTGTGCTTGCTACTATTATTACTCGCCTGTGTGCAATCCAAGTAGTATATATACTGAAGATATTAACGATATTTTATATAGTGATTAGCATCAACAATTGCAGAAGCGCTATCTTTTTCTAGATGCCAAATGAGAGCCACGCGCATTACGGTATGATGGTATTACGGATTGAAAATCTATATTTTTTAACATGTAACGAATTTAAATTTTACGCACTCCATCCCGCCAATGGCCTCTTCTTTGTGCACTAAGATCAAGCCAGCCAAGGACACATAAACCTTGATAATTCTATGTAAATAGTCAGGTAGGGTCACATCATACTATCTCACTCGGATGGGATATCCTATCAACATGTCCGTACAGAGCCTGATAGTTACATGTACTTATGTAAGTAATCCCAGAAACAGCTTAGAACTAATAACCGAACAAAATCATGTCTTTTCATAAGTTGCTATTTCTCTCTTACTTTCAGGTTGTTGTATTGATTATGATATTGCTTTATGAGAGGTTGAGGATGGGTAGTGCGATATTTCATCGGGAGCTAAACCCCTAACCCTGTACGACAACCAGTCCACCTCGCTGTGGCTCACTGTTCCTCCGACCGCCGAGAACTTCTGGCGAGCACTTCTATCCCAAGCCCTCGTCTACGCGATAGATCTAAAAGTCGCTCGAACGCGGACAGACTAGTGGTATTACATAACCGAGTGAGACTCTGTGATGCAGCGAGAACTATTAAGCGAGCGAAATGCTCCACCATCCATGTTACAATAATTAGTTTATTTTGTCCAGGCGGTGTAATACTACAAGTAGTTCCCCTCTTTTGATTCGCTATAGTTGGTTAGTGATAACTGTCTTAACCATAATCGATTAGTTTAAAGCATTCAGCAAATAGCGGCCATTATATAACCGCCACTTCCACACCGATCTATGTATGTCTACGTCTCGTATACTGATATCGCTTCCTGGGATTTTTTTTGCTAACGAATAGCTACAACACAAACGAAGAGAACGACAGAAATGACATGATGCTAGGTCGTAAAAGAACAAATGAGACGTGCAAATGTCCTAGGATTACCTGCTCGATACCAAATTGATCAAACTCAAGACCTCATGGGAATCAATGTGCCCACAGTGAATAGGGTTTTAGCTAAAGGATTTGGACAGACACTCCCTCAATCCCTACATAATGGTTGCAGCGTACGCGTGCATGGGCTTGCACAAACGGCTCGGGTCTCTACCTAAAATACTCAGCTAAATTATAAAACCATCTAAGGTAACACCCCGCCCAGATCTGTCAAGCTGACCATTTTCCACGGGGCCCACTCGGGCAGATTGGTCAGATACAGACGCCGGGAATCATTGATACACAAGTAAGGATCGGTTAACAATGTAGCGCCCGGGTATAAAGTTATGACAAACGGTGGCACTACCTATGGGAATGCCCTCAATGCCATTACATCTCATTCCCCGTCTTCCCCGGCCAGTAAAGAGGTGATGCTGTATTTCCTGTAAAAGGGTCACTCGGTTAACACGCCTGGACATACGGGCCCTGTCCTATGTGGGGCATGTGCCCGTGGGAATATGGACGTCGAGACAGTGCAGCTCATGCTTGATAGGGGCGCAGACATCAATGGAAGAGGCGGGGGCTTCGCAACCCCGCTACAGGGAGCATGCGCCCAGGGAAATTTAGACATCGTGGCTCTGCTCATTAAAAACGGTGTCGACGTGAATGCGACTGGCGGGCTGCATGGCACCGCTCTCATGGCCGCATGCGATTATCCTTACGCAGATCGGAATGAGATAGTAGAATATCTCATAGCTAGTGGTGCCAATGTGAATATAAGGGCAGGACAATACGGAAGCGCCCTTCAAACAGCATCAGCCGACCTAGACCTAACCCGCCGTTGTGCTACTATACTGATCAGGAATGGAGCAGAGGTCGATGCTCTCGGGGGTAAGTACAATTCCGCTCTACAGGCAGCCGCGATAAGCGCCACAAACCCACCACCTATCCTAAGATCAGATGGAAGTACGCTTGAGCTCCTATTACGCAGCGGAGCCAACCCAGATGTGTCTGGGGGAGGTCATCTCAGTGAGTTGATGTCGGCATGTTATGCAGGGGATATGAAGCTTGTGAACCTGCTCATTTCCGCAGGCGCTGATGTGAATGTTTCCCACCATATCTATGGGACCGCCCTACAGTCTGCTTCCTACCGAGACAACCAAGCTGTGGTAGATCTCCTACTTTCAAAGGGTGCCGATGTAAACGCACTGGGTGGGAAATATGGCACCGCATTAGTGGCGGGATCTAGAGCTGGTAGCACCGACATACAGGCAGCAGCCCATGAGGATTATACACATATTGTGGGGTATCTCCTGGCGAGAGCAGCAGACATCAATTGCGTGGGTGGGAAGTATGGAACCGCACTTCAGGCGGCATCCCACAAAAGACAAGGAGATATTGTGGCTATGCTCATTTCCAAAAGCGCCACGGGCAACAACCGAGTTGGAAGATATGGGACCAAACTGCGGACAACATTGCCCAAGAGGGCTTCTGTGACGGTACCTTCGTTTTCCAAAAAGGATTTCAGAGTCAATCCATCGAGCGGCATCAGAGGCAGTTCCGTGTTGGTGTCCGAATGTGCCAGTGGCAGCACCACCCGCTCACGTCTGAAGGTTATTCTTGCCCAAGGAGCGGACGTCAACCAACGCTGTGAGGTTTATGGAACTCCCCTCCTGGCTCTATCTGCTGCTGGCGCCGCGGGTCCCGATATATTCGTGGACTGTATACGACTGCTTCTTGCCAGAGGAGCGAAAGTTACAGCATCAGGCGGACGATTTGCCACCATAATACAGGCCGTTGCTGGGAGCCGGGGCTCTCAGAATAAAAAGGCATGCGGAATAGTAGCAAACATCCTCTTCAGGTTTGACGTGGACGTGAATGCAACGGGTGGCGTCTATGGCACAGCACTTCAGGCAGCATGTTACCGCGGTGATTACGAGTTGGCCAGAGGTCTCCTCAAACAGGGGCAAATGTTTACGCCAGAGGTGGACGCTTCGGTTCTGCATCAATAGCTGCATCAATAGCTGCATTGCACAGTGGCCAATTAGACGTGATATTGAAACTTATAGAACACAACGCAAACATAAACATAGACATCTCACCGTATAGAAGTTCTCTACAGGCTGCAGTCTACTCCGGCCATCACAAAGTTGTTCAGTTCTTCTGGATAATGGTGCCAATATCAATTCCAGCAGTGGAAGATACGGGACGCCACTCAATGCTGCAATTGACAGAAACAAAGCATATGTTGCCGACCTTCTCCTCCGCTACGGAGCAGATGTCCACATGAAAGGAGGCCGACACGGTGATGCTCTCCAGGCAGCGGTTCATCATCGGAACCAAGGCCTCATAGAGCTTCTTTTAGATTGCGGTGCTGATGTCAATGCACATGGGGGCCTCTACGGAAGTGCTTTGAAATCAGCAATCCTCAGTGGAGACAAAGAAATTATCCAGCTCCTCTTACAGAGAGGCGCCAGGATGAACAAAAGAGGTGGGAAATATAATAACGCTCTCCAAGCGGCTAGTCTCAGCGGGAAAAGGTCAACGCTCGAGCTCATCATTTCCCACGGGCTCGCAATAAACATTATTGGTGGACCGTACCACAACGCTCTCCAGTGCGCAGTGCTAGATTCACGGTTCTATTACTCATCACAAGCGGATTCGATGTCAATTGCCAGGGTGGGAAATACGGCAATGCACTTCAGGCAGCAGCGGTGAGAGGATGGACAACAATGATACGGCTTCTTATATTCAAGGGAGCAGACGTGAATGCCCAAGGAGGTAAATACCCGAATGCACTTCATGCCGCCATCGTCAAAAGACACAAAAGTTCCATTGAGTGTCTTCTGGAAAATGGAGCGGATATCCAGAGCCTCGACCCTGGATGTCTTGCAAATGCCCGAAGGCGGAATGATCAGGAAGTGTTTCGGATTCTGCAAAAATATGAGGCCTCGTTTTCCGAATGTTGAGGTAAATATAATAACCGTTCCGTAATACTCATTGATGGAATATTATTGACATGATCGAGCGACTCGGCGAGGGCGATCACTAATACGTACGAGAAATGCATTGATGTTGTTTAAGAGGGATCAGAATTATGGTTTTTCTTTTTTTGCGGATACTTTCTGTTCATACACATATATTTGCTTTAATTTTCATTGGTTATATAAGAAAAGACTGGCCTTTGCGTGAATTGGGGCCGCTTATACAACATTTTTATGTTTTATTAGTGCCTCTTATCATTTAGACGTACGAATATATAGAGTACTCCATCTAGCAGGGTATGTACGGGCCCACATATAGAGCAGGAGACTGTAGTCGTTTCTGGTTCCAGTGCGAAATAGTGTCGGCTAGGGCGCTAGGGTTAGCGATGAAGGTTACAGTGACAGAAAGATGGATAAAACGACTACCTCAGTCTTTGGCAATGCCGTACCGCTGCCGTAACACTACCATATACTTCGTTAAATACCGAGGTAAAGCGGCATATTCTCACAATACCGTACTGATGCGGTATCAGATTCACCCCCATTTCTGATACAATATTTATATAATATACTACATAAGCTAGGGAATTCACCTGATTGTATATAGAGCCCGCACGCACCAAGTGGGGCCTTCACTGAAAAAGGTTTCACTCAAAAGATATAGCCTAAATGATCATTGACCCTCCACACAAACCCTAACCCTGCACCAATTAGTATCCACCTGCCAAGTCCCGCTAGCTACCACCCCCGGCGCGAAAAAAAAAACAAGAAAAAAGTATTCCGTTGCGGGGAATTGAACCCCGATCTAGTCGGATCATGAATGAGAGCGACTGATGCTAACCATTACACCACAACGGATGATGTCCACAATACGTGGCACAGGGATTTTGAGCTCTTTTTTCTGGTAGTGCTGCGTATGGGGGTGATTTAGCTGAACTCTGGTTTCTAGATGGCGCGAGCGAGAGAGCAGAGGAGATCGTGAATGTAGATTGCTTCTATATTGTTCCTCCCAATATCTATTTCCCCTAGATCCATAACCTTCTGGACTAAAAGATACCCCGTGTATGTAGTATATCTGCAGACGATCTCCTTCCTTCCTTCCTTCCTTCCTTCCTTGCCGGCCCAATCGGTCCAAGTCAGTGGGCACTCCGTTGCGATAGTTTAGTAATAGGATTACCAAAGAAACTCTCGCGCGAGAGAAACTCCCATGAAGGATTTCGATACCATCTCCAAACGCCGACACACAACACACCCCAATAAAACACACATGTGGTCCTTTGCCTGCCAAACCGCACCACAAACTAATTACCCCTACCGCAACCAAAGCCTTCGGAGGTGCTCGGCCCCTACACTAAACAAACACCCAGCGCTGCTGCCACCGGTAGAAATAACGCTTTTCCTGTATTGTAGATCCATAGAAACCAGCCGGCAGCGGGAGTTAAATATTAACACAAGCAGGTCTTCACACGCCTTCGCCACACTGAGACCCAAGTCGATCCAGACCGGCCATGCATATATAAACAACCCCCTCCATCACCACCTCTCTTCCCTTCCCTTCCGCCCCAGAAAAATAATCGACTTAATACTACATATGGGCAACCTTCACCCCCCCCATTGTACCCCTGCCTCCTCCTCCTCCTCCTAGTCTAGTCCCCATGATCAGCTCAATTGATATATCCAGACCGACTAGCTAGACCCCCAAACCCATCAGCGGTCCAGCCAGCAACCCACATCCCTATAGCCTGCATACCCCATGAAGCATCACGCAAAAAGACCGGGGCCCACTCTTGAGTTGCGGAAGCAATCAAGTGGTGGCTGGAAAGCGGACAGTATACAGAGCAGACAGACCATAGATGCCATGCAGTGAGTGGAGTGTGTTGACGAGTGCCATGCTGGGTGATGGGGCGTGATTGGAGTATGACGAGTGATGAGTGATGGGTGATGAAGTATGAACGAGAGATACATACATCTACCGGGTGATGAAGTATGACGGGTGAATGAAGAGTGTCTGTACATGTCGGATGCTAATGTATGAAGAGGAAGAGCCCAACAACACCGGGTGATAAATTATGAAGGAGCACTCTCCAACAACGCCAACCCACACCCCGACCATCCCCACTACCAAACACAGCCCCCCCCCCCCTGCCCCTCGCACAAGACCCCCCACCCCACCACCTCTACCACGCAACCCCCTCACCAAAAGGCCCATCCAAAGCCCACCCACCCCCTCCGCACAACCACCAAAAAACAAGAACACCGACTCACTCCCCAAAGCCACCCCCAAGTATGCTTAACCGCTGAATCAGCCGGGAATCGAACCCGGGTCGGGCGCAAATCATGCAAACATGGCAAGCGCCCGTGATACCACTACACCACTGAATCCCGTCTCGGAATCGCGGTGGTGGCGATGTGCGGGGTGGGTGCCAAGACGGCTGGGGTGAGTGATGGACTGTGTTTTCACGAGCACGGATTGCGGATTGGAGCAGTGGAGGATTGATTGTAGGTACATTAACGGAGCTGATTACACAGGATCGGACGTGACCTCGTGAAGAAGAAGAGAAACGAAGAAGAAGAATCAGAAGTGATGTACAAAAAAGAGCCCATGAAAGAAAACCCAAGCCATAAGAACCAAAAGACTCCCGCCAAAGCACACTCACCACAACCACAACCCTAACCCTCCATCTGTCACACAAGCCTCCCCGCAACAAAAGAGAAAAAAGCAAAGAACAGGAAGAAACAACCACCACCACCACAACTACAAATTGCCCCTCTCCGCCTGGTCCCTCTCGATCGCCTCAAACAGGCTCCGGAAGTTGCCCGCGCCAAAGCCCGAGAAGCCGTTCCGCTGTATAATTTCAATAAACACCGTCGGCCGATCCATCAGCGGCTTCGTAAACAGCTGCAGCAGATACCCGCCCTCGTCGAAATCGACCAAGATGCCGAGCTCCTGCAGCACGCGAAAGTCCTCCTTGAGCCGCATGCCGGCGGCCGATAACCGCTTCGCCATCTGCGCGTAGTACGTGTCGGGCACGGTGATGAAGGACACGCCGCGCGCTTTCATGTTGATGACGGCGGTGACGATGTCGGTGGTGCGCAGCGCAATGTGCTGCACGCCCGACCCGTTGAAGAATTCGACGTATTCTTCGATCTGGGATTTGCGTTTGCCGTGCGCGGGCTCGTTGATGGGCATTTTGACGAGCTCGTTGGGGGAGGCCATGACGATGGATTTGAGCGCGGAGTATTCGGTGAAGACGTCTTTGTCGTCGACGGACCAGAAGCGGTGGAAGCCGAGGGCTTGCTCGTAGCTGTGGTGGTTATGTGGTCAGTATATATATATTTCGATATCTCAAAACCACAGAGTGTGCGGGTGAAGGGAGGGGGGGAGAAACTCACTAGTCACACGCCGCCTCCATCTCGTTCCAGTCCTGGTTGCCCACACAGTGATCAATCGCCTCGAGCCTCACCTCCGGCAGGAACTTTGCCACGGGATCCACCTCCGTCGCCGCCCGATAGCCCGGCATAAACGCCCCCCTAAACCTGCTGCGGTCGACGAGCGTATGTATCGTATCGCCATACGTCTTGAGGCTCGCCACGACCACCTCCCCGCCCTCGTCCCTGAGCACCTTTGGCGGCGCAACGCTCACGGCGCCGTTGGCCATCGCGCGGTCGTAGATCTTGTACACGTCGTCGACCTGGAAGGCCACGTCCTTGACGGCGTCCCCGTGCTCTGTCATGTGCCTGTGCACGAGCTCCAGCTCTGCCGCGTCCTCGGGGGACAGCTCGGAGGGCGTGGGGGCGCGCAGCGGGGAGGTGAGGACGAAGGTTACGAGGCCGTTGGAGACGACGTGGGAGGCGATTGAGCGAGAGCCCGTCTCGAGCCCGCGGTAGGCGACGGCGTGGAAGCCCATGCGGGTGATGTAGTATGAGGCGGCCTGTTTGGCGTTGCCAACGTACCTGGGGGGTGGATGTTAGGTTTGTGTGCTATAGCGGAACGAGTGGGAAGGAAAGGAAAGGGAAGGAAATGGCTCACCAGTGCACATGGTCGTAGCCGCGGTACTCTGTGTTGTCGCGGATCGCGGTGGCTGACTGGACGCCGGAGAGAGGGAAGGTCTCGCCCGTGGAAGTTATGATATGCGAGTTTGGGGGAGAGGAGGAGAGGGCTGAAGGAGGCATTATGGCTATAGGGCAGCAGTCAAGTTTGTGAGCTAGGGATGGATTGTGTAGTGAGACTGCCGTGAAACGTTCGTATATTTGTTCTTCTTTTGTGCTAAAGTTCAATATGCAGGCGGAAGAATGAAGAAGGAAGAAGGGAGGAAGCACAAGAGCAGGATGGAGAAAGAGAGGAGGATGCACAGAAACCAGCGTCTGGTGATATATCGATAGAGACCAAACTCTGAGCAGCAGCAAGCAGGAGAAGTGGAGTGGAGTTTATGAAAGAGACGTCTCCTCGAGTTCAGTACCAGAGCCCTAACCCACGGATTCACGACTCCACTGATAGCCGGGTAGGCACGGCTAGACGCGGGTGTCGTTGGGGGTTGGGAGGCGATCTGCATGACGGCATCTGCATCGGATTCTTCGGGGTTGTGTTAACGCAGGGGGGGAAACACGGCTAGAGAAGGCAACTGGAGCCCTGGGCGTGAGAGATCTGTCCGGGGGGATTCTTTTGGGGGGTCTTTGTGGGGTCTTTGTGGGGTCTTGAGGGGCACTCGAGGGATATCAAGGGGGCCAGAGTGTGTTGGTCTTTCTGTCACATCTACTATTACGCTGCTCCTATTATCCAGCTGTCTGCATACATACCTCACATTCCTACATATCTGTCCATAGCACAGCTGGACTATCGAGACATCCAAATACACAATTATCACCTACCTATCTACCTCCTCTACAATCATTTCCCAAACATTCCAAGCTTCACGATAGCTACACATACCCCTCTCCTCACTGCCTCACGATATCAATAGCTACCACACACCTACACACCCACAGCACAATGGCCACCACCCTCGACCTCACCCCCAACGACCTCCGCGTGCTCACAAACATCTTCGACACGCCCCACCTCCCCTCATCGACAGCACCCTCCCCCCGACCCGCACATCCCCGCCTCTCTCCTCCCCTCCCTAAAGGCCACCGAGCGCCTCGCCATCGCCGCCGCCGAAGCCTCCGACCTGCCCACCGCCCACTCTCTCCTCCTCACACTCACAAGCATGCACCCGACCTACGCATCGGGGTTCAACAACCTCGCCCAAGTCTTAAGACTCATCTCTGCGCCGCTCGAAGACGTCATTGCCGCGCTGGACACGTCCATTTCGCTCGCGGCGCCCAAGGATGGTGGTAGCGTGAGTGCGGCGCAGGCGAACCTGCTGAAGATGGCGTATACGCAGCGGGGCGCGCTGTGGTATGGCGAGTGGAAGAGGACGGGGGAGGAGGCGTGTGAGGAGCGGGCGAGGCGGGATTTCGAGGAGGGGGGCAGGTGGGGGAGCGGGGTGGCGAGGGAGATGGCCGTCAGGACGAATCCGTATGCGAGGTTGTGTGGTGCGATTGTGAAGGAGGCGCTGACGAGGGAGTATATGGGACAGGGGGAGGTGTGTGGGAAGTAGGGTCTGCTCTACATACTCTATTCTGTGCTATTCTGTTTGGTTTCTTTCTTTGGAGGGCGTTTTTTTCTCTTTCTCTATAGGCTGTGATGTGGTTAGATGGGGTTTGATTGTAGATAGCTGGTACACTGCAGAATAATGACACTTTACAATTGCAATCACATAATAGGCTCTGCACGCGTGCAGGGGCATTAACAAGATTTTATTATATCCCCAGACAGGCCTCCATGGTAAACCGTCTGTAGGCGTAAATAAGGCGGAAAGCGTCGTGCAAGAGACACAGTAATGCTGACCGCATGGAGCCGTTTGTCACCGCACTGCAGTGTCCAATGCCATGGCCAAGGGAGGGTTCGGGCCTTATCATGGTATCCGATAAATCCGGGGTTGGGGGAGGCATCATGACCGCACAGACTACCCCAGAGTAGTGTTTAGGTGATAAGGGAGACTCACCAACTGCAGGTATCCGTTGAAGCAGCGGTGGGACGTAGCTGCAGAGGCGGTGCATCACGATCATCGAGATCTATCTACATTTACTTACTCAAGCGTACTAGGAACGTGTAATAGACGTAATTAATGCCTACTCTACTCTCCTTCCATGCTCGATTCTACTGAATCATGCGTTGTCACTGGCTACATGTAGCCACTGACCGACTGCCCTAAGCCCCATGCAGCTAGCCGCGTTACCGCAAATAGCACGGTACAAAAGCTTATCAGTAGCGCGGCTGGCGTCGGCTGCACGCGCGTGGTTATCGCTCATCTCATCGCGTTCGCCTTCCCGATGCACGGAGGCCCGTTGCGGTCACGGGTAGAACGTCATTATGTTGATGCCCTTTTATATCCGTCTCAAAGCGAGTGGTGATGCAACAATGGCAAGGGAAGGGGGAGGGAGGGGAGGGGGAGAGGAGGAAAGCTAGCTAGGGAACGGGCATCATGACACTGGACTTTTCATATCATGGGATGGGTAGCCAGCCAGACAGCTGCAGCAAGATGGAGTGCAGACCCAGAGACTGAGACGGGAGTGAGAGTACTTATTGTGCACTTCCCCCTTCCCCCTTCCCCCTTCCCCCCAGGTGATATTCCCACACTTGCTGTATTACAGAAACCTTAATGCTGTCCACATCCTGTCAACACAGTACATCTTCTCCTTAACAAATCCACACCAACTGGGGTGCTGCTGAAATGACAATCATCAAAGACTCTCTCCACTCGCTGGAGATCCCTGTGCTGCTCTCCCTCTCAAAGATGTCGATTCTCTCAAGTCTCTCCATTCTGCTCTCCTCACTCGTAGTATATCTTGCCTCACTCGTCTTCTACCGTCTCTACCTGCACCCACTGGCAAAGCACCCCGGCCCATTCCTTGCACGGATCACAGACTGGTTTGCCCCCCCCCCCCCCCCCAGCTTGCTCCTAAAAAACACAAACAAATCCCGATATTGACACCCCCAACCCAGGTACAATGTCTACCACGCCTACCTCGGCGACCGCCATCTCGCCCTGCACAATGCCCACCTCAAATACGGCCCCGTCGTCCGCTTCGCCCCAAACCTCATCTCCATCAACACCTCCACAGCCCTCAAGACCATCTACGGCCACAGCCCCGCCTCGCGCTCGCTGCAAAAGGGGTCCTTCTACTCGGCCTTCCCCGCCGTCAAGGGCGTCTACAACACGCACAACTGCATCAACAAAACCGAGCACGGCCGCAAGCGCCGCGTCCTCTCGGCCGCGTTCTCGGAGAATGCGCTGAAGAGCATGGAGGACCTTGTGCTGGGCAACATTCAGGTGTTTGTAGACGAGATTGAGAGGCGCAGTGTGCAGCTGCGCAAGGGCATCGATATGGGCGAGATGTTTAGCTGGCTGACGTTTGATGTTATGGGGGAGCTGTGTTTTGGGAAGAGCTTTGGCATGTTGAGGGATGAGACGACGAGGTTTGTGACGCACTTGATTGCGCAGGCGGCGCATAGCCACTATATCGTGAGTATCCCTTCCCCTCAAAAGACCCCTAGCTGCCAATTCATGTGTTGATTGGGTTGAGCAGAACGGAAACTACCTCCCCCTCGCCACGCTCAAGATCTCGCGTATCCTCTTCCCCACCATCCAGCGCGACAGATGGCGCTTCATCCAGCACTCGCGCGGCTGCGCCAACGAGCGCATGAAGCTCGGCGCCGACTACAAAAAGGACTTCTTCCACTACCTCCTCGACGCCAAAGACCCCGAGACCGGCAAAGGCTTTGAAACCGCCGAGCTCTGGGGCGAAGCCAACGTTCTCATGATTGCGTTAGTCCTCCAACCCCCCAAACCCCAATCCCTGTCGTAGTGCAATTTCATGTCTAACCGATCATTGATCCCTCTCCAGCGGCTCCGACACCACCGCAACCGCGCTCGCAGCAACACTCTTCTACCTCCTCCGCAACCCGACGAAGCTCGCCACGCTGCAGAAGGAGATCCGCAGCGCGTTCGCCAGCGCGGACGAGATCGTGGGTGGGAAACAGCTCACGGACTGCCACTACCTCAAGGCCTGCATCGACGAAGCCATGCGTCTCGCGCCCCCCGTCCCCGGCCTGCTCCCCCGCGAGGTCACGGCGCCGGAAGGAATCACTGTCGATGGCGTTTTCCTCCCCTGCGGCGTAAGCCCCCCACCCCCTCCTCCCCTAAATACCAGAAACCATAACACTAACACACCCCACAGACCGTAACAGGAACCCCCATCTACGCCCTCCACCACAACCCCACCTACTTCCCCTCACCCCACGCCTTCGACCCCGAGCGCTGGCTGCAACCATACACAACCGCCGACGCCATCGAGTCCGCCCGCGCCGCATTCACGCCCTTCTCCATCGGCCCGCGCGGCTGCATCGGCAAGTCTGTCGCGTACGTCGAGCTACGGCTTACGGTTGCGCGACTGATGTGGGAGTTTGATGTGGAGGAGGTGGTGCAGGAGGGGAAGGGGGTGCTGTGGAGGGAGGGCGTGGCGGTGCGGGAGGGGGAGTTTAGGTTGTTGGATCATTTCACGAGTAGGAAGGAGGGGCCGGTGGTGGTGTTTCAGAGGAGGTAGTGTGTGGGGGTAAGGGAGTGGGGTGGCTGTTTTGTTTGTGCGTTATGTGTAATGAAACTTTGTAACTTTGGGGGTGGGTTAATGAACAGTCCAATTGTTGGTATGTCCGGCGTGGAATAGGCGCGGATGGAGTTCTTGTCGGAGTATATAAATCACTCTACTCTACGCTCTACATACTACATGTAGTGCTAGTAAATCAACCCTGTCCACTGCCCGCACTAGCATTATGAGCATCCATGTGATGCCCACGTTATCTAACCTCATGATAAACTCTAGCAGCCAAGTAAACAAGATTCAGTGGTGTAGTGGTATCACGGGCGCTTGCCAAGTTTTCATGATTTGCGCCCGGCTGATTCATGTCTGAAATGTGGGTTGACCAACAAAGTGCTTGACTCTAGTTTCTTCTTTTTTTCTTCTTTTTTTTGAGAGGGGTTGTGAGATGGATTGGATGGGACGGTTATGGGGAGAGGAGAGGGGATGGATGGGCGGGTGCGAGAGGGATGGACGGAATGAGAGTCATGGCGTGTCACTCGGTGGGTTTGTGTGACTGAAAATATTATGCAGTCCGTAGGCTATGATATTCGCAATCGCCGGTCTCACCAAGGTAAAGCGACCGAAAATATTAGATGGAGTGTTTACGCAAAAATAGAGCCAGGTCAATCTACTGGTGCCGGTAATGTGAATTTAGGAACTTGAGACCTTTTGTGCAGAGGCACAACTGTTGATTGCCTTTTGCTGTATTAACTTGTGTGTAGGTGACTTTTTCATGCTCCCTGAATACACAAAGGTGTAGGTTCTGTTAATTAGTCGTTCGTGGGCGGGTCTGTAGGGTGAAGTTTGCTTGCTCGATGATACCCATGGCCATATATATACTAGACTAGAGTATGTGTATACGCTCCCGTGCGATGCAAAGTCTAGACTAACTATCGACCATCTCCTAGGCCTACGTGATCCTCGGGTGGCTGCAGACGTATTACTTAGTAAGTACATGTATGTAGAGGGTATAGTATGTGCCCGGGGTAAAGGTGGTTCGAAATCCACTATGTCCGCTTCGTTAAATCCCAATTCCGGGCGAGAAATATCGTGTGTCTGCACCGTGTACGGACTGTGAAGTTTGATATATATATATTTTTTATCGCAATATTGGGCAGATAGAACACTACCACTTGAAAAATATTGCATATTTTCTCAATATCACGATATTTGGCCGAATATCATGATGTTGAGCTGTTGCCGAACGGAGTGTAAATCATGACTCCCGAGCTCAGTGAACGGTGTATCCAAACAGTCAATAATCTGTCGTGTCCAGGATCATAATTTGGGGCGTTGAAACCATGATTTGGTGGCTTCCAAATAGTTTTGATGGGGTGGGGTTTAAACGTTTCCAGCTCTCGAGAGGAGAAAGGAATGTTCTACAGTGGCTACCTGCATGCTGCTAAGACTTTGAAAGTTTGTCACGGAGTCAGAAGAAGTCTGGGCACGAGACAGGATTTCGTCTGGTTTTTCCTTAATCATCATTATCACAACCAACTACAGTACTAGCAGCGCCACCGTAGTTACCCAACTACAGTCGCCTATCACTAGCAAAAATGGGGTTCGTCTTTCGCGCCTAAACCCTTCCAAAACCCCGTCCCGCTGCTACTGAATGTGACACTTCGTCTTTTTGGCGCTAGTCCTAACCTCACTAACAAATGATGTTAGATTTGACGCGCTCTCAACATCTCGAGGATCATCCACACCTGCTTTGTACCTACCTGCCTGCTGCTGCCTACCCACCTCTCGACACCTACCTCCTACCTACCTCCTACCTACCTCCTACCTACCTCCTACCTACCTCCTACCCACCTCCTACCTGTATCAACGCCTGGATACGTATTTACCTACCTCTGTATTTCGATGCCGTACTGACACCGCTACAGACTCCTAATCAAGACCAAACCGGCACCAAATTGACGCTCGAATCGACATCAAATCAGCACCAAATCGTCAGGTAACTGCACAGAATTAGGTGAAATTCAAGTCGGCATCGCTAGTAAAAATGTAAGGCCACACGGGGGCCCGTTTGCGCGGAGTTTATAGCCTAGCCAGAAACGGCTTTCTTGATTAATTTGCGTATGAAGTACTCTAGGCTAATTCGCGGGATCGTGCGGGCACCCGTTGAGCATTAAACTCGAGAATCCATGCATGTCTATTTGCTCTCGTAGAGGTCTGACTAACTGACAATAAGTGTTTCAATGAGGTTCAAAAGGAGGAATTCCACTCCGCCTTTCTTCCGCTCCATCTTTCTTCTGTACGCCGTCAATCCACCGTGAGACTTCGCACCAATGCCTCAAACGGCATCAACCTCGTCGTCCTCTTTCGTCTGGGGCTGCATGGTTTGTTCCAACACTTTTGTCGGCGAGAATGGGTTCCATACCCACTTTTCCCGAATAAGCGCCAAGGAGGCCAAAGGCGGGGCGGGCTTACACCTTCTCGCAGCGGGGGCGAAGGATGTAACTCCGCTATGGCGGCGCATTCCACTGGAGGCGAAATACGCCTGGCCTGAGAGGATGCTATTGGACTCCACCCAATGGGACCTGGTGAGGGCGTATTTGAAGGGCCCAGATGGTGGCATCAAGAAGATTAGAGCTGCTCTTGACGACTATCTTGTGCATGTGAATTGTCATTTGTAAGTGCTCCTCCACTCCCACGGCTACTAGTAGGTCAAATGATCAAGGCTAACGCACCCGTATCTGCAGTCCCGCTACACCCCCCAAGCCGCTCCTGAGCAGCCCCCAGAAAGCCCCGGAAGCCCTGCCTACAAGACGTGTGCGCACCTGGATACACAAACGCTCTCGGGACGCCTCACGCTCTCGGAGCGTCTCCCCGCTACCGATGAGGAAACAACGCCGTCTGATCGATTCCCCTCCCCGGAACTACTCTCGCCCGGACCCTGGCTCCGCAATAATGATTCCGAGTTCTCCACCCGCTTTACCGCCATGGTCAGTCCTCAATGGTAGCATGATGGTGGGCAACATCTTCGGCGACAACGCGACGGGAAATGATGTGTCCTTTTCTAATGTCAATAATACTAAGATCGACAGAAGTCCGGCTCGAGCTTGATGTGTCTCCCGCCTTGGAGTTGGAGCAGGTCTTGGAAGAATTGGCTAGGCTTACTGTGTGTTAAAGGCATTCCTGTCCCATTACCGACAGTTTACCGATACCTTTCCTGATGCATTTACCTGTTAAAGGCAATAAGCTACGACTTTACTGACGAAATTCCTTGTTAAAGGCATGTTAAAGGGAAAAGAAATGATGGTTTCCGGTGTTTCCTCTTTTCCGCCGGAAAATCAATGAAGCCCCTCCTCTAGATCTCGAGATAGTTGAGTCCCCAAATAGGGTGGGGTCATCAAATGGTATCTGGCATCAATGGGCTTGTAATAGTTGTGGAATACAACTTCATTTTGGTGGATCCATTGTTTGGCAGATACATGTAGGGTATTCTGACTTGATGCTTCAGGTATAATAGTAGGATGCTCTGTGATGATTTGTCTCATTGGCGGTGGCATTGGTCAATCATGTAAAGCATCACCGGTGGGCAAAACTTATCCCCGCTTCTGTATACGCTCAAAATGAGTGACAGAAGCGTGACAGGTAAAGGTGTCAGTAAAGTCGTCGGTAATGCCATTTGTAAATCATTAAAAAGACGTCTGTAAAGTCGTCCAATTTCCCTTAAAACGACTTTCCCTCCACCAAAATATTGACATTTCCCAGCGAAAATTAAAACCCCAGAAACGACTTTCCCAACGACTTTACTGAATATTCTGGGTGCGCATTTTCACGGCCCCTAGAGTCTATAGCGGCATGTATCCGTACATGCACTCTAGAGTACACACAGTTGACCTATCACGGATTAGATAATGTAGTGTGAAATCGCGAGGCGCTACTTTAATTGCATTCCAATAGTTTCCTGCATCCCGTTAAATTACACGATTGAGATCAGGCCCGACGGTGTAAATGATAAAATATCGGCCCGTAGTCTAAATACTAGCTTTTGATAAAAATAGAGGCCCGAGTGAGAGCTCGTGAAGAACATCCGACCAGTAAAACAGGAAAAGAACGCCGAAGCCAGAAGACAGAACCAGAAGAAAGAAGAAAGCCAGCCAAACCCAGGACCTACATACATATATCTATCCACTCTCTATCTAAGCCAGCGGCGGGAATGCGCCACCCCTCGCCATCTTCTTTGTCCTCTGGTCTCTCCTATTATGGTTAGCTCTACTCCCTTTACTCGCCTCCTTCTTTGCCCTCCCCTGCATCGTCTCCTTGTCTCCACTCGGGCCCGCGACATTCCCGCCGCCTCTCCCCCTCCCACCTCTTCCGCCCCTTCCGCCCCTCTCACCCCGAATACGGCCACCCCTCCCCCTGTCCCCGCGGCCACTATCCTCCCCCCCTCCGCCGGCGCACTCCACCGCGTACTCTCCAACACCACCGTCTGCCCGCCACCGCCACCACCCACATCCCCATACCGCCGCTCCAGCATCCTAAGCCTCCTCGGCTCGCGCTCAAGCATGACCTTCCACCCCTCAATCGCCTCATCCGTCATTCCCGTCTCGCCCTTCAGCACCCTCCTCCCAGCACTCCTACGCGTCTCAGCGTCCCGCCCAAACACCGCCCCGTCACGGCGATACGCCTCCCACAGCGCCTTCTCGGCGGGGTCCTCGTTGCTGTCTGGAACTGCAGCGGCGGGGCGCGGGACGGGGTCCGCGTCGTTGGTGGGGTCGACGGCGCCGCCGACGTCGGTGGGGTCGACGGCGCCGCCGACGTCGGTGGCGTCGTAGGTGTCGTCGCGCTCGTCGTCGTCGAGGGAGATGGCGGCGAGGGCGGAGAGGATGGATGTCTTGGAGGGGGCGTTGGTGGTGAGGAGGGTGTCGGCGGTGAGGGCGGCGTTTTTGCGCCCGACGTGGACGTTGCGGAGGGTGGTGGGGGAGAGCGTGTCGAGGGCGTCATTGTCGTATTTGTTACGGCGGGTGATGGGCGCGGGGGTGTATTTGGAGGTGGATTGAGGGGCAGGTGCGCGCGCTGCAGGAGCTGTGGGGGCTGCGCGGGCTGCGGGGGCTGTATCTGGTGGAATGCTATATGGGTGTTAATTGCACTGTAATACCTGGGAGATATAAGGGAGACCTACTATTCCTCTGACCGGTCTGCGGTGACCAATGACGGCGGTAACGACTCCTCCAGCAGCGCGCTGGTGACCTGCTCCACATCGCCATTAAACGCCTCCAGACACCGCCGCAGAAAGCCGCTGCCCAAGTCCGGGAACAGCTCCCGTATCGTGGCCACCTTTCCCATAATCTCGACCTCCTCCTCCTCGCTCGGGCCCACCATCTTGCCCTTCCCCTTATCCCTCATCCCCTCCACAACAACCTTCCTCCTCACAACCCTCGGCCGCCCAAACCGCTCCAGCGCAACCAGCAACGCATCGACCCGCCCCTCCTCCGGCGTCTCGCGCGAAACCTTCCGCAGCGCACTCACAAAACTCGTCTCCTCCACAAGGCTCTTGAGAAACGCCTTCTCCTTCCCCGCGCTCCCGCCAACACGCGGGTTCTCCGCCGCGCCGATGAGAACATACACCCGGTCCGTCACCAGACTCCAGTTCCCCTTGCGCCCCGTGTCGGAGCTTGCGACCTCCAGCACGGCGGTCCGGAACTCGCGCACATGCCCGTTGTCGACACACAGATCTACCCAGTCATCGCCTGCCAGGAAGGTCTCTGCCGCGCGCCGACTAAAGCGGAACAGAGCTTCGAGGCCTTCGCTGCCGGCGCCCTTGCCGGCAATGACACTCCGCAGCATGGTCTCGACGGTTGTCTCGTAGCGGCGCCAAACGGGCGGAGTGTCAAGTGTTGTGCGCAGCAGGCGGGAGCGCGGGAAGCAGGTTGAGAGAGAGCGCAGGAAGGAGGGTATCGTGTAAGGTGGGGGCAGGGCGATCTGGGAGGGGAGGGTGAAGAGGCGGTGGAGTAGAGTGATGACTTTACGTTTGAGGGATTGCTGGGCGGGGGTAATGGGGGGAGGAGAGTGTGCGAGGTAGGTGCTGAGGAAGGTGCTGAGGGCGGGGTCTGGGACGGAGGTACTGTTGAAGGTGGGGGAGGGCGTCTGCAGGTGGTGCGTGAGACAGAGTGTCCATAGCTCGTAGGCGCTGTCGGGGATCTCGGAGTGTTCTGAGGGCAGGGGAAAGGGGGCGATGGGAATCGACATTGTGGGAAGAGTTTGGTGTTGAGGTTGAGGTTGAATTCAAGCTGGAGAGTTTCTGGTGATCGATTGCTGACATGACGCAGAGAGAGGTTCTGGGTTGCCTGGAGCTGTGGGCAGGCAGGGTAACTGCGGGTGTCTGCATGATCATTGACAGGAAATGATCGGTTGGTGGGTAATTGGCTGGGTGTGGGTTAGGTGTAGCTGGGAATTAATTGGTTGCATTAATGGCAATACGGCTATAATAGCAGTACATTAACAGATATCATCCAGCTGAGCTGGCATTGACATTAGCCACCGCGGCACTAACACTGAGCGGTCTTAGCAGTACCTTGCTGATGCTGTTGTGGATACATGTAGCCGGTGAGGTGGTTAGAGCCTTGAAAGGGACGTTTTGTAGAGAGGCAGGAGCTCAGCACAGATTTTGACCCTAAGGAAGTCGGAGGTGAAATTTAGCTCACTTAAGCTCGGTCCATAAAAGAAAAGCTCGAACGATTGTATTATGATGATGAGAGAAATTTCGAGATAGAAGACAAGTACAAGTTAAGACACGCTACATAGCTACTACATATTGTCACGGTAGTCTCAGTGCTCTGTCCTTTGACCTACAGGCGATATATCTGGATCTGTCCTCAAGCTCGTATTAGTAGTTTCGGAGTAAATCAACCTGCCTGGGCCACAAGTACACCCATGAGAATGGAATAGAACTGAGTATACCATAGCCAATCTCACTCTTGGCAATTCTAACACCACTAACAGACTTTTTTATATAAAAGTGGTTTATTGATCTCCAGATTGCAAAGAAGCTTAATGTTGGGTCGGCGGGTTTGGAGTTGAGGGTTAGGGTTCAGTATCCCCATTGGGTATTGAACGATTTGATTAACGGATTCCCTGGGAGTTGGTTGATTGTTGTAATAGGTATTAGCTCGATTATGTGTAGTTGAGGGGATGTGCGAATGAGAGGGGCATGTTCATATTTTCTCCGAGAAAGATAAGATGAGGGAAATGGTTGGAGGGCGTGAAGTTAATAATAGCGCCGTGATTAAGGATGCTGACTTTTTGATTGAGCTACAGGATTACAAATAAATGGAGAAGAAAGACACACGGCGTTCAATCGGATCCGATAGCTGGGAGACATAAAGATAACACTGCTTCACAGGCTTGAGAATAACCCAGATCAGAGAGCAATTACACAGCGATGAATCCGGAAAGATATTATAAAGAGGCCATGGATGTCTTCTGAATGTATCACTCAACGAGGAAGCCTAGTCTATAAATAACAAAGATATACTGACTGTGTATGAATAAAATGCCAAAGAAATATTCTATTTTGACCCGTCAAAAGATTTATATCAACAAGTTCCACCTTCCAACGATTCTGGTAATCCAGCGAGGGATGGTATTTGTCGATCGCGATCGTGTTCCGAGTCAAAGCCTAGCCATTGATAACTCAATATAAGCCAAACCGATGGTGATTTCTCCTTGTGACTAGGCCACTCAGTCTACTTGTTGGTTCTGGAAGTGCTTCCGAGAGAGCTGAGGAGGGAGCATCAGGTTCGATACTGCGTTTAAAAGGCCCATAATACTACATGCAGTGTAATCGACGAGAAGAGTTATCTTAAACCCTCGACTCGAGTTACCTTGGACATTTATAAAACAAAGGCAGAAACCCTAACCCTATGAACATACATTCTCATTTTTTTTTTGTTTAATTCATTAATTGCATGCAACATACATTCACATAATTAGGTGACCTAGAATGACTTCAAGGGTTGATATTCGACAATGAAAAGCCTGAGTATAGCTCGAGCCACTCGAACCTTTTTTCTCTGCTCGTCTCGAGACCACACTACACAATACTATCATGAGCTCTAATACTATTATGGTGCACCGATGCCAAGCATCAATGATCAATAAATTCAGCTATTGCATCACTGACACTATGTTTCCATCTCCGCAGTGGGTCGGTAGATTACACTCTCGATGGCATACTTACGATTATAGGGAGAGAGAAGCTCTACAGAATGGTATCGTCCATATCCTCATAAGTCTTATCTTGGTGGGATTGTTCCACCGTGAAAACATAGTGGTTTTCGAATTCGGTCTATGCCATATTTACATACACTGCCTAGCATATTTCCGTAAAGAAGATTTGATGGGATCAGGAATCGTAAAGGGTTTAACCGTTAGAAGAAAGTAATCATGTCAATCATATCAATCCATCCCAATTCCATACAGGTAACACCCCACTAAACATCACATCTAGCCACAACAGAGCACCGCACCATGATCAAGAAAAGGAGTAAATGTCGTAAAAAATTTTCTGCATAACTACTCCATCTTTACTATTGACCTTCCCTTCCATCTAACCAAGCACACAAAATAGCTACTTTTTTATTCAGCGCATCTTCCTTCAATTTTACTCAGTACAGTAACTCATATCTTCATCCCAGCCTATAACCATCCACCTCGTAAAAAAGGAACCAGCAGGGTCAATGAAAAAAGAAAAAAAATAAAACAGAATGGAAAAAGATAAAATAGCACACCAAAAGGTAGAGGAGCAACTCATCAGGGTAAAAAGGGGAAGGTGAAGGGGAAAGGGACTGGAATGCGTAAGTAGCCATCAATCAAGCTGTGTCATTCACATAATCGCAATATCTAACAATGAAGAGGATTTGCCGCGATCCTAAAAGATTATGTATGAAAAGATCTTGCCATCTTTCAGTGCACCGATAAAGAATGAAAATAGCCATTTTGTTTTCGTGCTTCACATCCCCCCCCCCCCCCCCGCGTTTTTGACCCCATAGATTGCTCCCAAAGTCCTCCGAGACTTTGTTTAAACACCCAACCTTCTTCTAAGCTCACGCTCAGTCTCGCCTTCTTCCTCAATCATATTCTCGAGGCCGCGCACCTCCGCCTCCTGTGCCTGAGCGGCCGCAGCAGCCGCCTGCGCAATAAGGATAGCCTCACCGGCGGTCTTCTCGAGATCCTGCTGCACGCCGCTACTGATACCACCCTGGCCAATGAGCGCAGGGTCAACCATATCCATTTCGTTGTGCTGGTGGTGTGTGTATTCATTGGTGTCAAGATCTCCGGTAAGAGAGTTCATGGCGACGACCGGAGCAGGGTTATGGAGAGGGTAAGTAGTGTGGTGTTCCTGGTGAACATATTCGTAGCCGTTCTGTGGCTGTGGCTGTGGCTGTGGTGGAGTCTGGGTGGGCGGCATGGAGTGCGGTTGATAGCGCTCGGTCCGGATCTCAAGAGGGAGCTCGTTGAGGTTGGACAGGAGTCGAGAAATGATTTCGTGCAGCGGAAGGCGACGATGGGGAAGATGAGCGCGCATGGATTTGTATCCTCTCTCGAGATCACGGGCACTCCACAAGGCAGACTGTTCGCCTATGTTGTCCCATGGGATGGATTTTTCCTCTTTAGCCTGGGATTCGCGGATTCTGTGGGTGTCAGTGGGGTGTGTGATGGTAAAGGGTAGAGTGGGAGAGCTTACTGTTCCAAGATCCAGACTTTATCACCGACTTTCATGTCCTCAACGTTGAGCTTGACTTTGCGCTTCTTCCACAAGGCGCCTCGGCTTTCACCAGTCGGAACGCCGGTGACCCTGGCACGCTGCTGCTTCATCTTATTCCATTTGTACCTACACTGGATACGACTCCTCTTGTTGCCCATCAGTTCGCTGACACTGGTCCAGTTAATCTCTTCCTCGCCTTCGACCTCGTCAGCCTCCAAGTCGATCTCCTCGGGCCCGATGCTATTTCCTTTATTGGTTCTGATAGTTGACAAGACAATCTTCAAGACTCTCCGGAGCTCGGACTCTTCATCGTCGGCCCATCGGTCTCTTCCACGGTCTTTACCACACTTGACGTAGTTCCTCCATCTGTCACGGCAGTCTTCACCCATGCGACCCATGGCATCACCAACATCCTTCCAGCTACTTCCTTTCTCGGCGACAAGGCGAGCAAGCTCTTCGTCATCTTCGGCGGTCCATTTTGCTCGCTGCTGGAAGACATGGTAGGAGCGGCGAACGTGCTTGTAGATACTTGCCCTACTCCGGTTGGGGAGAACACCACAGACACTTTCCCAGAAGTCGTCCTTTTTACGGTCGTTAGACCAGACGCGCGAGCAAAGATCAGCATGACTGAGTTTGTGAATCCCCATGTACTCTGAAAGGTGCTTGTCGATAGCATGCCGTTCGTCGAGGGTAAAAGTACCACCGTTCCCAGAAGCACCTGCGCCACCGGAGGTTCCGTCAACGGGAGTAGGGGCGGTGGTCGGCTTACGGGCACGTGGCGGGCGTTTCGCAGCTACGGGAGTGGGAGGAAGTACACTATCGGCAGGGAGTCGTCGTTTTCGTTTCGATTTGTCGCCGCCCATTTCTTCTGCCTCGTCGTCTTGCCCTGCCGCGGCGTCAAGAGCACGAAGAGCGGGGTCGACTAGTTTATTTGGATCATCTTCAGGAAGCCGTTTGCGTTTGTAACTTGTTGGGGCTTTGGCTTTATTGGCGTTACGAAGGGGAGATACCAAGGTTGCAAGATCAGTGTCAAACTCATTGCCGGTAAGCTCCTCACCCATCAGGACGTCCCCTAGATCTGGGATGTTGGACTGTGGAATGGGATTGTGTTTTGACATGTGAGCCGCGAGATGTTGGGAGATGATACGGTCAGAGTCTGGGATTTCATGAAGACTATGGTGCTGAAGGTCTGTGTATTGAAGGAGTGCGAGGTCTTCGGCTTGGGAGGTAGCATTGGTGGGAGGATTTGTAAGAATGGGAGGGTTGGTAGGTGGTTGTGGGGAGGCCTCTTCGATCTGCGGAGGGGCAATTGGGGCCGCAACAACGATCTCGTCCAAATCGGCAATTTCCTCTTCAGAAGATTTTGACTTGTTTGTTTTGCTAGTCTTCCGATTGCCGCGACGTTTTTTCTTTTTGGGTTCGTCCTGGCCGTCTCCGTCATCAGCGCCATCAGCCTGTTCGATATCGTGAGGCGAATTTTCACCCTCCGGCGCCGCTACCACCACAGTGTCTCCGTCAGCGACCGAGTTGACTTCCTGAATACCTTTGTTGAGAGCGAGCAGCGCCTGGGCAGATTCTTCCTCCTGACTAGTCTGACGATTTTTCTTTTTCCGTTTCGACTTTTCGCCGGAGGTTGTTGGGACTGCTGTTGTTGTTGTCGTTGTGGTAGTGGTTGCCACTGTCACAACGTCCTCAATATCGTCATCTTCATTCTCCTTTCCATTTTTCTTCGACTTTTCCCCCTCTTTTATCTTCTTCTGTAGCAGCTGCTCCTGGTTTTCATTACTGGCACCCTCACTCGCATCCTTTTCATCATCATCGACGCGTTCCTTATCCTTCTTTGACTTCTTCTTCTTGCGCCTCTTCACCTTCTGCACGTCGACGACTTCCTCTGGATCCTCACTTGGGGCATTTTCTTCGATAGACTCGGGGTCCTGGTTGACGAAATTGGCGTGGTCGTTATCGCCATCTCCAGGCTGCGATTGGGAATTGCCCATGGAGGGCATTTGTTGCTTCGGGCGGGTAACGAGAGGAAAGTCGATAGGGTAACTATTGTGAGTTTGTTGGAGAGGACTGAGGGTGAAGGAGGCCGGAGAGGGTAACTTCGAGGCGAGGAGGAGAGTTGAGGTGTGTGGTGAGAACTTTTCCGCCAAGGCCAGGGTATGTGTGCCAAGAAGACGTGGTGGTGGTCGCTGTGCGCATGTGTGACAGACAAGTGATGGTGAGTGACGTGACGGCGTCGACAACCGTTCAAGGATTCAGTGCTTGAAGAATCATGAAACACCACGAAACACCTGTGTGGGGGTGAATTTATAACGCACCATAGTTTTGATGGAGTCCTAGCTCATCCGACGTTATCCCTCAGACAAGATTTGAATTGCTCTGGCCTCTCGAGCCACGGAGATTCGCAGGCAGACCAGGACTGCATGCAGCAGCCTATCCACGGATAGGTTTAAATGTTTATATTTATAATTATGTACTGATCTAATGGTAGATTTCCCTACCTGTACTACCGCTGAACTAATACCTAAACTTCCTTAACACAGAAAATTGGAAATATGGATACTTTGGAGGTGTAGTGAGATTACATGGATAATTTCCTGCCACTTTCCATTACATCCACAGGGCTCCAGCGCAGTTAATAAACAATACATCTATCGTACATCTACATTTATTCATGTGCTCAAACTCGCGAGCGGCTCGGTACATTATCCCGTGCTCTATTCAAGAACTGCCGTGATACCAAGTTTAATGGTAAATAATTTGCTTGAATTCAACACAACACTTCTGATACTCCTAAAAAAACCTAACCGTTATCCTAGAAATTCAACAAACATTAGAAGACATTCATGGATTATCACTCGGTTCAGCTAGAGGTGTTGTGACGCGAACAAAAACTGAGGAAACAACATGTAGAAATATACGTATTTCTACCACCACAACAGGTTCTCAAAATCAAATCACAACCGCGCACAATTTACACATTAGGGAAAAAAGACCAATTCAAGAAACAGGCTTTCGAGACCAGCGTTATGGCTAGCAATTCTCATACTTTTATATACGGTGTTCACCAACGGGCTTATATTAACCCACAAAGAACAGTGCAATCGCGGGATTATCATAGTTATATTAGAAGTCCACTAAAAACAAGTCAATGCAGCGCCAAACAGACGTTACAAACGCCATCTCCTGCAAGTCCACATTCCCTATTTACAATTTAATTATAGCATTTCTAACAGCCTTGCCAAAATTGTCAGTAGCTGAATTGGAACTTTAAACCAAACACGATAGATGTGGCTTACCCTTGGTATCGATATCGATATCGGCGGAACCGTTCTTGGAGCACACCTGCTCTCCTACCTCATACTTATGCATATCAGAAGGTAAGTCTGCGAATATTAGTTTCTGGTTGTCAAAGGAGTATGAGGAATGCACAAACCGCGAACAACTTTGCCGCAAGACGATCCCTCCATGGCACAAGCGGCGTTCTCGGAAACGTCATCCATCTTGTCAGCTGCAGTAGCCTGCTTCTCGATAGGGGTCTTCTCCCTCTTCTCATCTTCCATCATCTTAGGATCCATCTTTTTGTGGTCCATCTTGTTGTCCATCTTGTCGTCCATCATCTTATGGGAAGCTTTGTGATCTGCCTTCTCAGCAGATTTCTCCTCGATATCCATCTTCTCAGCTTTGGTATCAGAAGCGCCATCCATCAATTTAGGATCAGCCGAAGATTTGTGCATGTGTGCATCCTTCTTCATTTCGACCTTCTTAGCAGAATCATCAAGGACCTTGGAGTCGACTAATTATTTGTTAGTTTTAATAATAGCACTCGGTTTGAGTTTGAGTTTCACATACCTTTTTCATCTTCTGAAATAACGTTTTTACCAGCTTCTGAAGAAGATTTCTTCATAATGTCACAGGCCTCGACATTTTTCTCGGCATCTGAAAAAACCTTCTTGATGGCGTCACCGGCTTCAGCAGCCTTAGACTTACAGGCACCGCCCATATCAGCGGCTTCCCCAATGGTCATCTGGATAGCACCATCGGTATCCTTCATAGCCTTAATGGCAGTCTTCTGAGTAGAGCCCTCAGTATCCTTCATCGACTTGGTTGTAGTCTCACAATCTCCACAAACATTCTCGGCGGCAGCAGTGCAAGCTGAGGAGACTTTGGGGACGAAAGACTTGGAAGCAGTCTCTTTGTCATCGTGGCCTGGAGCATGATCGTCAGCTTAGTATCTCAAATACTAGTAGACGAAGGGATTATAAAGAAAAGAGATATTGGAAAAGGTGGGCCTACCGGTCAAATTGCCAACAACAGAATGCATGGCATCCTTGGCCTTATCGAGGTATGAAGGAGTAGCAGCGGAGTTGTTGGTTCCAGACATTATCGCTGTTGTTTGGTAGAGACTTTTGAGTACTACGAAAGTTGGAATGTGAAGAAAGTATGTGTAATGCTTGGTGTTGAGATTGAAGAGTTGAATGATGATAGAGATACGGAGGCGGGAAGGGGCTCTTTATATAGTCGAAAAATGGCTCTTGGTGATACCTTTTACGCCAATGCTACAAATAAACAGGCCTTATAAATGAGACGCAAAAGTGGCAGGATTCAGTGAAGACGCGTGTTCTATTGGGCTTCGAGCCGTTTATTCCAAGACTTTGCTCCGAATTTCGCCGCCCAAGCAGTCTTTAATAGACTTTCGCCGCTCATGAACACTTAGTAAGCCCAAGACTTTCCCCATGTTAAATGTGTCCTCTTGTTTACTTCAAATGCACTTAAAGCACTGAGCGTTAACGTTGTTCAGTACTATATGTACACGTAGCTACATGTAGATGGTGGTATCGGGAGTACTGTACACTCACCAGAGTTGTGTCGGAGGTAAGGGACGTTTTTATAAATGTCGTAGGAACTCTGATAACATCCTATACACGAAGATTTAATCATGAAGTTCAATCATGGAGATTATGTAGTATTTCGTCAAGGATAAGAAACAGACGATCTGTTGTAAGCACAGGATATCACTCGTTCATGCCAAGACTCCCCATGGATTTAAAAATCTGTATATATGTAATCTTTGGAACCGTGTCATCCTTGACTGGAGCTTCGTCTACCATACATGTAGTTAATACAGTATAGCTCTTCTATAATGACACCATCAAGAGCGATCGCCCCATAAGGGTACTGGCTATCCACCTATATTTTTATTTTTGTAGGGCTAGGAAACTACATACTAATTCTTCCCGCCTATTTGGTTATATACTCGCCACATGAGGCAATATTCCGCTTGAATGTACTTTAAGGTTATAATGCTTTCCTCTCGACTGGTTAATTTCTCAAGATACATACAATACCAAAAAAAAAGGGTATGGATTCGCTACGTTATTCCCGTTAATGAGCTTATAGTAATGCAGTAAGAATGCGGCATTACTACGGTATTCTTTTTGTGATGCCGGTTTAATTCCGTATTATTCACTGAATCCCGCAGTCATACAGTACCGATTTCACCCCGTTTTTCGTACTGTAGCTACACAACTTTTACGGATGAGATGGTTGTCGCTGGTTATTAATGCTCGTAATGTGTCTCCGATACCAGTGGCCGGTGTACTACGACCTACATAAATTCTAATAAAAATTAGATATCGATAGTAATCTCTGTTTCACAACATTCTGTAAGCCCCTGATAATAGCAGTGCGTATGTGTTCCTCCACAAGGGTGGACAAGTGATGATAGGTGCTAATTATATTGGCCATCGGACATGAAATTAAGCCGTTGGATCGCTTCTTGGAACGTGGCAGATTTGTCTGCACATCAAATACAAATTAATGACTCCTACGTAAGCCCCATTGTTGTAACAGCGCGAGCTGATTGTTATTTGCAGTCACACCCAAAAAAATAATCCTAGATAAGTAACGATCCTGCTGTTTCAGAAGCAGGAATATTGAAGAGTTGTCCTTCGATATATCTCTGCGCGGTACAGCATTGCCTCCAGCTAGAAGTATATATACGGGGTCGAGTTTCGAGTGGCATAAGCTCCGGCCTTTCCGAATTGCTTGAGCTGACAGATCTAGAGTGAAAAGCTTTTTGGGAACCTGAGTGTTATCTTCTAAACCTAACCCACAGCCGTTTTTCCGACTCAAATCCTGGAGATGTCTCAGACGTTAAAGACAAGCATTGCACTGCCACACTTATATGGCCAGGATCGGTCTAGCTGCATGCAGCTGCATCCCTTGTCCAACCATTGGAGCCTCCCAGGGCAGAGTGTTCATCTAGGCCCGGTCTGGTTTCCAGCCCTCTTGATAGAAGCAGAATCGGGAGCCGCAGAAATGCTAGACAAAAGGCCACCACCTCCGGATGGAAAATGACATAGATGCATGGACGTTGTTAGTGTCAAGACTCAAGACAAGATATACCAAGCATTGGCGGCAGATGTACGCGTAATCTAGCTTGGAGGGATCATGATGTGCAGGTTCAGCTCAACTTCCTTAGACGAGAGCAATTAAGCGTGTCTACTCTATTTCAAGATAGAATAAACGGTTATGAGATAGATCGCGATGGCGCTTGGATATCTCGGGAGCCTGTGCAGAGGCACAGTTAGAGTAGTTCCGGGAGTGTAGGTACTCTTGAGGGATGATGAGACAGGTGTCGGAGAAGCTAGAACAGTGCTGGGAAACACTCGCCGAAGAAAGTTTGAATCGGGCGGGAAGGGGGGGAGGGGTGGAAGAGAAATGGTAAAACACTTGAGCTATCGCTGACAAGCTGCTCTTCCACGTCATTCCTGGGTTGTCGAGCTGGTAGAGTAGAGTAACAAACAGTGCTGTGTAGGGACATACATGTATGGGTGCATGTAGAGTAAGTACATGTATGTACGCCATTACCGTGGGTGATCATGTTGGAGGCGTCTGCCATTGCATAGCCTGTGAAAAAAACATCTATGCACGATCCAATCACATTGTGCGACCAGAGCACGAGCAATTTTTCCCATCTGTGCTGGCGCGTGTCGATAGGGACCCTGGCAGCTCATTCATAAAGAATCGGATCTTCTACATAAGTGTATCTCTCCCTAGATCTCTATCTTCTCCCTTGTGCAGTCTGGTTCCCTCGTGCCCCATCAGCTTAATTAACAGCTCTTGCAGTCTCCTTCTCAAACCTTAGCGCAACCAAACCTCTCAACCCAACCCCCTCTACCTCAACTCTGAATTATGAAGAATCTCACATTTTCGCTCCTCTTCACAATAATCCTTCTGTCAATAACAGCCAGAGCCGGTCAAAACTTTGGAAGCGAGGTCTGCAAAACCACCTCGTGCTACGGGGTTATCCTCATCGCCGCAAGCTGTAATTACACGCTCGACATAGCACAGGAAATCACTGCAGCGGAAGCATATTGTACATGTCATAACAGTAATTTTACTGCCTCAATCGAGCCGTATGTATCCCTTTCCCCCTGCGCGCAAACTCCTTGCTAAATCAAATCAAGATGTCTCGAATGTATGGAACCATACAACATCGCAATCTACAAGGAGAGTACTTGGGAGCGCCTATGCCCTAATCTTCTCGAAGACGATGACGATGACGATGACAACGATAGCGACGGCCAAGCGCAAAGAAACGCTTCCCCGAGAAGTATTGATGCACATAAATTATCCACTACGGGGGCGCTTATTGTAGTAGCCGGAATGGTTTTTTCGGGGATGGCACTCTGAGAAGTGCGAATACCGGCGCGGCACTCTTGGCTTAATTATTGGCCCGGAATTTTTGCTTATTTGTTTATTTTTTGTTTTACTAGCGCGGCGGTGTCTTCTTATTCTTTACTACATTTATTTCGGCAGCGGCGCACAAGGATTGCAGTTACAGGTTTTTTTTTTTCGTTCGGGGTCGATCCTTCCAAATTTCATGAGTGATCTTTAGATATCACAGGCTTATGACTAACGCAGCATAATTGTTTATTATTTCTTTTGTTTAGAAACGATTTTTGGATTGTACGTAGCAGTATGATTAAACTTTGACGAAGATTATAATAGTATATATATTTGTAGTTTATCAACTGCACAATTATTTATATACAAACTTGACTAGAAGTGCGTAAAGGTTATAGAGATTGAAGATATAATGATGGCCACTGCAGCTGTCCAAACCCACGCGTGTCAAGACCTACGTGTACTTAAATACATGGACGTATCTATCACAAGTGAACCATAAATTAAAACTTTCGATCCTTTAGGACTTTATAGCTCCCACGCACAGACTACGGCGTAACATGATATGGGCCGACAAAACACAGCACGATTTGCATTACACCAATAAATTGATTCGGCGAGTGCAAGGTGAGCAGACTTCAACGCTGCATTGGTGTACATCAAAAGACCACCAACTAATAGGAAGACAACTAAACCCCTGGGCTCATACACTCACCGGTATCGATCACTCTGTTCTTTCTCTTTCTCTCGTATACATCTAATAAGTATATAATTATAACCTGCATATGCAATGTGCTTTTATAGTCTTCTGATTGGTTCATTGAGAGATGTTTTTGTTTCACTTGAAACATGTTGTGTTGGATATTAACATAGGGTATTGTGCTGAGTGGTGTTAGAGTATTAATAGGGTTTCTACTGGTTCTGGGAATCGATAGTAGTTCGATTTTAGCGGCTTGGTGGCTGTTAAAGGGATATACCTGTAGTTTTAACTGGAGAAATTGTCTGACCTATCCGTTGATATATGGGGATAATATATCAGAAAAGGCACATATTGACCAGAGCAGATCTAGATATAGTGATGGACTTTGCCTGCCAGGTAAATAGAGAAATAAGCCGCAAAGCGGTTTGCCTGTATATTGGACTGATTGATATACATATAGTACCGGCCGAAGGCCGGAAACTACTTGTATAGCTATATAGCTCCATATTCCCCAGCTTTACTTATACTGACTTATGACTCTCAAAGTAGTGATCTACAAGTGCAGCCTGAGATTCCGAAGGCAAGTCTCCCCATCTCATGAAGCTTACCACATCAGTATAACTGATATACAATCTAACTTATAATTATAGATCCCCCTGCCCGCGACATCCGAGTGATCCTTCATGCCCCATGCCAAGCGCTTAAGCCCCTACAGCGCGGATCCTTGGCATGCATGCAGCCGTAGATCGTGAGGAGTGAGGAGCTCACCACTACCGATGACAACATAATTTGCAACGTCTCTAAATGGCCATCAATGGGCCTCCTAGGCCTGCTTTCTGGCCGTTTACTTCTCAAGTATGGCTCTATCAAGATATTCAAGTGGATAGAGGAGGGAACGAAACTTGAGTTGGGTCATCTGATCATATCATTAAGCCATTACATCTAGATCTAGCTGGTAGGTTTCAACACGACCGCTCTCTAAGAACAAGGCTCTAACAAGCAGTAAAGCTCAGGCTCAAAACAAAAAAATAAAACTGATGAAAAAATTGCAACCCAAACGCACAAAACTCCATTAAAGGATAACTCGGCCAGACAAAAAAAGAAAAGATTTTACGATGCTCTCACATTGGAAAGCCCTAATTCGGGAACCGTCTCTTCTCCAACAATAATGCCCCAGAAGGCCCAGACTTCTGGAACCCTTCAGAGGCGGAATAGATCTTGTTTCCCCGAAGCCATGTTTCGACGACCTTGCCTTTGAGGGTCTTGTTCTCGTAGGGGGTGACTTTGTTTTTGAATTTCATGTCGTTGGTGGTAACCTATAGAAAAGTGTTAGTTGATTGTCGTCAGAAAATATTTAGGGGTAAAGGGCAACAAACAGTAAACTCTGCTTCGGGGTCAAAAACGCAGATATCCGCATCCCAGCCAACCTCCAACGCGCCCTTCTTTCCCAACAAACCGACCTGCTTTGCTGTCTTATAGCTGGTCCATTCCGCACATTGGACCAAGGATACATCTCTCTTCTGTCCTTCGGTCCATAGGATACTGAGTCCCAACCCTACAGTTGAGATTCCACCCCATGCCTTGAAGAAATCACCATCGCCGCCGTTGTCTTTCAACATCTTTAAATCAGGTGTGCATGGTGAGTGGTCAGAGACAACCGTCTCTACCAATCCCTCCTTGAGCGCATCCCAGAGGAACTCGCGGTTGGTACCTTCACGGATAGGAGGGCAGCACTTATGTCTGGTATCCCCATCCTCGATCTCTTCGGCCGCAAGCGTAAGGTAGTGGAAACAGGTTTCCGCGGTTAGTTTTATTCCGCATTCCCTAGCCTTGCGGACAAGTGGGATCCCTTCCGCAGCGGAAAGGTGCACGATGTGAAGTTGTAACTCAGGCGCTACATGTGCAAGTGAGAGGATCTCCTCGATAGCGTATGTCTCGAAAGCAGGAGGGCGCGAGGCAAGGAAGGTGGAGTACGATTCGAGGGGTCCAGCAGGAGCGAGTGGGGGATCGCTGTGGAGAACAGAGTCTCCGAGAGATAGTGAGAGGGGTGGGAGCATCTCGGCGTGGAACATTAATGTTGTTGGTGACTTTGACAGGGTCTTCATCGCAATCGATACATCTTCCGCGCTGACGCAGGGGAATTCTTCAACCTATTGATTTATCGGTATTAGCTAACATGAAATAGACGGTTGGTAAGATTGCGTCAGACTTACACCAGAGTCAATAAGGAAACACTTGAAGCCTCTCACCCCAGCTTCAACAAGAGGAATTAGATGATCCTGGTTTCCTGGGATAACACCGCCATAAAATCCAACGTCCACCCAGCACTGTCCTTCTGCTGCTTGCTTCTTCAACTCAAGATTCTCCACCGTAGTAGTTGGGGGAATTGCATTCAGTGGCATGTCAATGACGGTAGTGACACCACCAAATGCTGCAGCTTTGGTTCCGGTTTCAAAGCCTTCCCACTCGGTCCTCCAACCGGGTTCGTTGAGATGCACATGTGCGTCCACGAGACCCGGCATGATTACAAGAGGAGAGTAGTCATGGTATTGGGTCCCTGACGGGAATGAACTACGCGGGAGGACAGAGGTATGGATTCGAAGAATTTTACCAGTGGTGGGGGAGATCAGAATAGTTGCAGGTGTGAGTGTTCCGGAAACAACGGCACGTGAGGAACAGAGAACTGTTGAAAGTTCCTGAGGAGTGGTGAGCTCGTAGATGCTGAGGTCCAGCTCTGTGGGTAGTGTTGATAGTGGTGCAATCGGGGTTTCAAGATGGGGCGCCATTATGAAAAATCTTGTTGATATGTGATGTGGAAAGTGGGATACAAGAGAAGATATGGAGGTCTATATATCTTATCGAGAGATGGAGGAGCAGGAAGAGGACCAAGGAAGATAGAAGGGAAGAAACCAGAGGGGGAAATGGAGATTTAAAGGAAATACTCTGGCGAAGCCCCCCGGGGTAATCATTTTGATCTAATTCCAGGGTATTCCCCTTGTGCTAAGAAAAGATCTCACTGATAACAAAAACTACATGTAGTCTGGCCGATAAGCTAACACCCAGAACTCTCTCCACCCGGACACATTCCTAACCGCATTAGACCCTCTAAGCTCCCCCTAAACCCACCGCACACCCTTCCTAGGGACACCAGTTAACCGAAAAAAATATTTCCAGGGTCCACGATTCTTCCAGAACAAAGCAAAGGCGAAAAAAGAGAAAAAATCAGCCATCAAAAGCTAATTCTCACCTAGCTTCACTAGGGCCCTAATCTAAGCAGACTAGCCCGATACGGCTAGCCAAGACAGCATTAGCAGGAAGGGTCTTCGTCCCTTGAACCCGCGATCCATGGTTGTCAGATGCACTTCCCGAAAAAGAATCGGGATGTAACGGGAATGCAGGCCAGAGATGGAGTCCTCTGTGCAGGATAAAATAGAGTATCAGACCTACCACAGAGTGTAAAGTACATGCCAATCTGCGTGTAGCCACCAAAGGAAGTCGTACCGTATGTACCTCCGCTCCAATTCAGTGATCAGCTATCTCTCCTCTCTAGCTATCTCTATCTATCTGCAGGCGTGCGGACAGAAGGGAAGGGAAGGGAAGGAAGGGGAAGTTGGTGCTGATGCCGATGGTCGTTTAACCTTTGAGGTTATCGATAAGATAAGGAACGTCACCAATCGGTTATGGATGCCGCAACCGGCCGATTTACCCCTAGATAGCCGGGGAACACCGTATTGCAATTACTTCAGTTTCTGGATTATATAGACCTGGCCTGCTACAGACCCGCGAATTATAATTTGACTGCTGTAGAGGACAGTAGGTACATGTGCCTGCATATGTGAAAACATCATCTTGGTTCATTCGTGCGACAAAGTGGACACCTTTACCTTCACAGAATAATCTACACCTGGGAGGTACCTGAGCCCGAAGTCCTGATTCATCACAGCCTCCTAATACCCACAAACAGCACCTCATAACCGCACACCGCATGGTATCGTATGATTTAGGAGCAAATGACCACAGCGCTCGCCTCCGCCCGCAGCCAGTGGGTCGTGTGAGGATTACTCGATCGATTTCCATTACTCGAGAGAAACTCTCCGGAGGTTTCTATTACTCGAGAGGAACTGCGGGCCCAGACTCTATCCTTACGTAATCGCCAACTGTGGCTAGCTGAGTCTCGGGAGAAAGCTTGTTCTCCCCCGGCGGCGTTTGAGCGCGTGGGTTAGGGTTATTATGGCCGTCGGGACTCGAGGTAGTGCTGGAGATTACCCGCCGTCGATGGGCGGTGGGTGCCTGCCAGTGGGTAAAACGGAGCTCTATAAGCGGATACGAGCCCCGCAAGACACCCAGGCTTAGTGTCGACGTACAGTTGCACCTACGGCCAGTACTGGTCTCACGGCGGGCCTTATCGACTATCTTGCAGGGGGGTAAATACAAATTACTCGAGCAGATCACTCCGAACCTCTGAGTTCAGGATTCAGGATTCAAACGTCATAGTCGATCGTCACTCCGCCGTCACAGAAACCTCGAAACAAAGGAAAACGTTATCACCAAGAGAGTAATCTGCGGGGCGATAGCGAGCAAGCGAGCGAGCTGTCAGATTTTATCTATCGAGAAAACGTTGGCCGGCTGGTGCCCCTGTACGTGTGGGACGAAAAGATAAACACCTGTGCGCGACGGCCGAGTGAGATAGGATGACGGGAGGATGGAGGGCAGTTGCCGGATGTGGTGTTTGATCGACTCCGTGAGATAGGTACAGGGTTAAGGTGATAGGGTCCTATGTAGAATCGATCTTCCGTTTGTGTACCAGGAGGGGAGAGGTATGTATCATTGACCTTGGAGTAACGTGGTACAGTACGCCGGTCAGGAATGTTATCCCAGCGTCATTCTGAGTAATGATTGGCTGCGCGGGCAAGAATACTTAGTAGGAATTGCGTTCTATCTGTACTACGGGTGTAGGAGTACAGCGAAAGCTTGCTATAACGGTACGCTTGGGACCGGAATTTGGTACCGTTATAGAGAGATTACCCTTATATAGGAGGTGCTGGTGCTGAAAGCCAGGCAAAAAGGACCGAGAAGTGCTACCGTTATAGAGAGATTACCCTTATAGAAAGTACCGTTATAGCAAGCTTTCGCTGTAAGTCTGTTGACAGTGAGAACTGTTGCAACCACGGCCGCTGTCAATACATATATGTAGTTGACTTAATTACACGTGTCGCGGGTTACACTGATGACATAAATACCCCAACAGTGCAGCTTTCAACAAACCCAAAGGTTTGAGCCCCCAGCCATATACCTAAGTATTACTCTATGACAAAACCTGTGCTGTGTCGCAACCCATCTTGTACGGCGATGGTCACGAGACAAGACCAGACGATTTAAAGTCTCGTCTCGTATTCTTTAAAGCGAGTCTTGAAAACTCGAGACAATGATCTATATATACGTTTCCTCGGGGTCTCGAGACAACATACGTGTCTATCATTAAATTGTTATCGTAGTCACGCAATACTGCAAAGCCCTCAATTGGTGGAATAAGAATCCCCCATCAAGCTCCTCTGCAGTTTACGGACGTTTTTGAGTGTATCTCAGCGAATAAGACTATGACTGCGCGTGAGGTCTAAACGGCCCCTAGTTGGTGTTGGGCTAAGGGATAAAACATCTAGATTAGTGATAATATATAAAGTGTTTTTTTATAATTGCCTTAAAATAAGATATATGTACATGTAGTCTATACAAGATTGAATAAGCATCAAACACTATTGATTTTTATACCGTAAAATCATCCGCAATCTTACAAAAGTCCAGTAACGTGCGGCACACCCCCCCCCTTAGTCCTGAACTCACCAACTACCAACCACCACCATCGGACCGAGTGATGCCCTATGAGGATCACCAACCTTCGCGTCCCCTTTACCCGCTCTAAATTAACCCGCCTCCATCATCCAACAATCACTCTATTCCCTCTCACTTCAGATGCACGAAAATCATTTCCCCTCCATCCCCTAGCGCTGACCGTTACACCAAGCTGACAAGGATACCATCCCCAACAGCAGCAGCAGCCGAGCCTCAAACTTCGGATGCATCCCACCGAGCCAAGACAAGGCACACACCACCGGTGGAGAGTGCACGCGTAGCTACATACATGTAGTTCAGAAAACACACGTAGAATAACCAGCCTTGATCATATGTGACTTGGAGTATAATCGTAGCTTCCGAAAACCTCTTTCTCCGAGCGCTGGCAGACAAAAACGACAAATATGGAGCCGATATCGCGACAAGTTTCCGCTGCAACGACGACTGGTGGAGGGTCGACGACTGGTGGAGGGTCGACGATGGAGGGTATTTTCCATTACTATTCTACTATTTGGGCCGAAAACATAGCTAACTTGTGCAACAGACCCCGAGTGCAAAACACGTTTCAGCATACCACTCAAAGGAGGTACGTCTATTCTTCTAGCTAGCTAGAAGAAAGTAGCTAGAGTAGCAGTAGCTATATGGTTGGCAGTGGCTGATCTTGTATAGTTGCAGGGCGCGATACTCCGGGTTTGAAATGGCATACGAAGGGCTATACGGAGGAGCAAAAGGGACAGCCGAGGGTGTTGATGATTGATTTTCTGGAGGGCTATAAAGGTATATACCCTGGAGCTGGGAGGTAGTGCAGGGGGTTACTTACTTACAGGGAGATAGATGGCGACGGAAAAGGATTGGAGGAGCGAGTTATCTTCAATGAGATCCATGATCTACCGGTTCTGAAGGCTATGTACAGAGAGGTATATTTGTCTGTTATTATATTTCATATGAGCCTCGTATATAGCAGTTGCACAGCTAACCACAAGTAAATGTAGAACAAGAACCCATCACGAGCTCTTCGAGTTATGTACGACCACCGATATACTCCTTAATAACTCGTCTATAAGCAAACACTAACTAGCCTGATTAAACAGCCACGTACAGAACTCCAGCTGGGCAACCAAATTCCTCATCTATAAATTCCGCATCAAAGATAACGACGAAATCATCGGGTTACAAGAATTCGGCGATTGGCTCTTACAGAAGAAACCGCAACGACGAGCTGGAAAACCACTGTTACTCGGGAAAACATGGAGGACTACATCTGATCCTTGGAGAGGTGCGTACTTGTAAGGAAGGGCGAATAGTTGCAGAGAAAGCTTTTACTAATATTAATTATGATTTAGGAATCACAAAGTGCTCTTTCGGACTGGATTATATGAAACACTATGTCTGTCCCGAAGTAGAACGACAGATAGACAAAGAGTCAAGAATTCTGGGACTGCAAGGCTACGATTCAAATGGTACCGGAAATACACATATAAATACTGGACTCATGCATTTACCTGCAAACCATACGCTGGAGATGACATGAGGCTGATAAAATTTATCAACTCAAAGCTAACACATTCCCCACACAGATAACGCTGCGCACCGCTATAATGTATTCTCGCAAAGGCTGTCTGTTTATGTTCAGTACAACGCCCCCGACCTACAAACCCCGGGCCCTGACATTGTTTCCCCATACCGGGATCTTAACACCCTCGAAGAGCTGTATGACAATGGGAATACAATCATCATATTCGATAATTCATACACACGACATATAGAGCATACACTACTACCTGCCAGAGGGGAGTGGGAGAGCAAGTGGAGGAGATTGCCGTTCGATCCACATGTCAAGGAGATGAACGTAGATGTGGCCGCATTAGGATTGATGAATATCATCATGCAAGATATATTCAAGGCAGTGGCAGATAGTTGGGAATCTCTGCTGGATGCAAGCTGGGAGCATGTTAGTATATTGGTATGATTCTCTGAGCCAGCGATTACTACAAAGGAAGGTGGTTAACATGGAATAGGAGGAGAAAATATATGAGCAACCCGCCGACGAGAGTCGCGCGCCTGAACTCTGGCGAAACTCCGCGCGTTGGCTTAAGTATGAGAAGCTTATGTTCACGCACATCGACGTTGTGAATGATATGCGAAAATATCTTGTCGACATCGACGGTGACCGAAGCGATGAGGGGAAATGGCTCCAGGAGTCTCCAGGGGATTATGCAAGGTTGTTGAATCTGATAGAGGAAGATTTAGTAAAGCGAACCAATAACCTGTCAGAATTGGTGAGTCCTGAAATATGCGATTTTGATCATTATTGCAGTACGTTACTGATAACCATGGTAGATGTATAAATCAGTTGCAATCAGAGACTCCCGGCAGTCGTTGCAGCTAGGCACCAGCATGTGGAGATTATCCTGGGTGACCTTTATCTTCCTTCCTCTCACCTTTATATCCGGTTTCTTTGGTATGAACGTTGACCTCTTCGAGAACAACCCTTCCATAAAATGGTACTTTATAACTACCGTCCCATTTGTAAGTACCATCCACCCCTCCTTTATTCTACACCAACTAACCATTAAAAGATGATATTTGTCCTCCTATCTTGGTACATCCTCAAGCACATCCTCTCTCGGCACCGACAGTCGCCCCAACAACGCGGAATCTACGAAGCCTTCTACATGGATCTCAACAACCGCCGCCCTGACCTCTGGACCCGTCAAGGACCGAGGGATTTCGTACAGCCCGCTACTCGAATCGCAAGATTCAAGTGGTGGTTCATTACCCGCTGGGCAGCAAACAACCGCGCGCAAGTGAGGAATCTAGGAGATGACGAGCCCATCGGTGCCTGGAACCGCATTAAACGCTACCTTGTCTGGCGGTGGACCGACGACCTTCCCTTACTTGACGACCCCAATTTGCTGAATCAGGACGCAGAAATGGGATTGATTGGTAATGTGAATGTTGCGGAGGCGCTTGAAGATACGATGGTGACAGCGATTGGGGCTGGAGCTACTCCTATGATGAGAATGAATTATGAGCAGTCATTAGATCCGGATGGCGACCCGACGCCTGAGGCAATGTTTGAAGGGAGGATTAGTGGTGTTATGGTGGAAGAGAGAAGAGATACAGGAGAGCTGGTTACGGGGGAGAGGGAAGATGAAACAAATACGCTAAAAGTTCCGAATGGAGATACGGGTAGGAGGAGCAATCCGAGCCGCCACGACGACCCATGAGTGATATGATGGCCTCCTTTTTTTTTTTTTTTTTTTTTTTTGGTTAATCTGTTTATTGAAGTATCAGTGGATGATTGGATGTTTGAATAGCGCTCTGTATTATTGTTCATTTTGTAAGTTTGTTTATTGCGGTCGAAATCTTATTTAAGCTTAACTTGTCATGTATTTATGTATCTATGTATCGAGAAAATAAATTCTTAGACAGAGGAGAATTGGTGTGGTCCACGATTCCATTTGTTGCGCCGTAGAGTTCAGACATTATTTGTTCACTCACACGAGGTCACTCGCCTGGACCAGATTAGATTAGATAAGATGCACCATGGGCCAGACCCGATTAGCCCATCAATGATGACTCTTAATTGCTCTTCCCCGTGACTCCGCCACGAAACTACTAAACGCGTCCCCCCGTCGCGACTTTTTTTTTTTCGATTTTCAGCACCGCATCCCTCACACCTCCGAATTGAACCATCCATCGTGTGAAGTCCACCACGATCACCATGCATCGTCCCAAGGTAGCCAAGGTAGTAGCCGACGAAAACACAAAGACTCCGCTCAAACGAACCGCTACACGACTCTACGGCAGCGCCACCACGGACACACTCACGAAGCTCGTCAAGCCGTTCAAATGTCCTGGCTCAGCTCCACAAACCCGTGAGCGTGCACTACCAGCAAGGAAGAAGCGTAAGGTTTCCTACAAGGATCAGGATGGAGGTGATGACGATGGCGAATTCGTGAAAGAGGGCGAGGAGAAGAGAGTTGTGCTGGGGAATTTGGAGAAGAACAAGGCGTTTCCGGTCTTTAAACCCAAGGACAAGGAGACGATGTTCCGACAACGTTTTGCAGTTCCGCTTATCAATAAGAATGCTGGGGGTTATGACGCTCAAAGACCGGCACCGGCATTGGGGATGAGGAAGAGAGCCAATTTCATTGCGAGGCCGCTACACGATCCGAGCGGCGAGTTTTCAATTGTGCTTTATGATCCGACGGTAGATGATAAGAAAGTTGAAATTACAGAGGAAGATGGAGAAGTGAAGATACAAACAGTATCGAAGGTCCACAGAAGCTTGGCAGATATATTAGGGATAAATAAGGATGCAAAGGAAGAGATACCCAAGGTACCTGTGGTCATTGACCCCAGGTTGGCTAAAGTTTTAAGGCCTCATCAGGTCGAGGGTGTAAAGGTTTGTATTTCTGCCAATTGACTATGGTACCCAGGGATGCTGACATTCTTCCTAGTTCTTATACAAGTGTGTTACGGGTATGATCGATCCCAAAGCCAATGGCTGTATCATGGCCGACGAGATGGGTCTCGGGAAAACATTACAATGCATAGCCCTCATGTGGACTTTGCTCAAACAATCTCCGGAGCCCGGAAAGTCAACCATTCAAAAATGTGTCATCGCATGTCCTTCATCACTAGTCCGCAATTGGGCCAACGAATTGGTCAAGTGGCTCGGAAAGGATACAGTCACCCCGTTTGCAATTGACGGTAAAGCATCAAAAGCCGAGCTTACAGCACAATTAAAGCAATGGGCAATCGCCAGTGGCAGAAGTGTAGTAAGGCCTGTTTTGATAGTAAGTTACGAGACGCTACGTCTGAATGCTGGCGAGCTCGCGGGGGTACCTATTGGACTTTTGCTTTGTGACGAAGGACATCGGCTGAAGAACGGAGAGAGTCAAACCTTCACCGCTTTAACTGCTCTTAATGTCGATAGGCGAGTTATCTTATCTGGAACGCCTATCCAAAACGATTTATCTGAATACTTTTCCCTCCTCAATTTTGCCAACCCTAATCTTCTTGGCACTCGTCTGGACTTCCGCAAGAAGTACGAACTGCCTATTCTACGTGGTCGTGATGCCGATGGTACCGAGGAAGAACGCAAAAAGGGCGATGAATGCCTTAAGGATCTTGCTGATCTCGTCAATAAGTTTATCATCCGTCGAACTAACGATATCCTGTCGAAATATCTTCCCGTCAAGTACGAGCATGTCGTATTCTGCAAACTTGCACCTTTCCAGGAGGCGCTATACAAATACTTTATTACCTCACCTGAAATTAAAAGTCTACTTAGAGGTAAAGGTTCCCAACCTCTTAAGGCTATCGGCCTACTTAAAAAGCTATGTAACCATCCCGACCTATTGGATCTCCCCGACGATCTTCCGGGGTGCGAGAATTTATTTCCAGAGGATTATATCCCCAAGGACGCCAGGAGTAGCCGAGACCGTGAGGTCAAGACATGGTATTCCGGAAAGATGGTAGTTCTAGACCGAATGCTTGCCCGTATTCGCCAAGACACAAATGATAAAATCGTCCTCATCAGTAATTATACCCAAACCCTTGATATTTTTGAAAAACTTTGCCGCAGCCGAGGTTACGGTTCTCTCCGACTTGACGGCTCAATGAATGTCAATAAGCGCCAAAAGCTCGTTGACAAATTCAACAATCCCGAAGGTGAAGAATTCGTTTTTCTTCTTTCGTCCAAAGCTGGTGGATGCGGTCTCAACCTTATCGGTGCCAACCGCTTGGTCCTCTTCGATCCAGATTGGAACCCCGCAGCTGACCAGCAGGCGCTGGCTCGTGTTTGGCGTGATGGGCAGAAGAAGGACTGTTTCGTATACCGGTTCATCGCAACTGGTACCATTGAGGAGAAGATCTTCCAGAGACAGTCACACAAGCAATCACTCTCATCGTGCGTTGTTGATGGGGGTGAGGATGTGGAACGCCATTTCACACTTGATTCGTTGAAGGAGTTATTCCTGTTCCACCCGGACACAAATAGTAACACGCACGATACATTTAAGTGCAAAAGATGCAAGGACTGGAGACAATTTATTAAAGCGCCGGCCATGCTCTATGGCGATACGAGCACCTGGAACCATTTTAGTGATACCAAAGGAGGCGGTTTGGAGAGGATTCAGGATCTGTTATTGAGACAGGAAAGTGGGGAAGGGATCGTCAGCAGCTGCTTTCAGTATATTTCTCATTAGTTTCTTTTCTTTCTGGCCATTGGGATTCGTTTGTTATTATGGTGTTATTGGTCTTGGTTAATATGGTTATGGTCGTATTGATAAAAGGGAGGCTTTTCTGTTGCTTTCTATTCTGGGATTAGACATTGATATACTCACGATACAATGTGTTTGCGAAATACCTGTCTTACTAGGAGTGATATCCTTGTTATGTTTATGATACTCAATTTTAAATGAAGCGGTGCTTAATCAATTAGTTTCTAATTAGGGCATGCCAGATCGTACTGTAGAGACCGCATAAGGTATTAGAGAGGTGCTCCTTCAATCAAATCCATCTCATATCAACCAGATCATCTAAACTCTGCCAGCGCAGCCCGTCAATTTGAGTCTACACTCCCAATTTCATACCTGTTATCTATAGAATCCTAATCTATACGAACCCAAGTAAACGTACGAGATCGTATGTAGGTCGATTGCCCTGCAGGAATATGTGTTATGTAAGAGACTTCATTCATTAATACAAAAGATTGCCCGTTTTGCACTTTAGCTCACTTCAATCCTAGTAGCTTTGGCTGACCAAATAATGCTGCACTTACAGCCTACCGATATGCCCGGTATTAATAGATCTGCAAGCCATCGAAAGCCCGAAGGGAAAGGTCGTGTGCCATTCAGATTAATGCTCCCGGACTATACCTATATTACCAAACAAATATCAAATTGTAGGTATATAAGTACAAAGTAAAATCAGACACTACCTAGTCCCACAATGATTTTAAAGAAATTCGATATAGTTATCCCTTCTTTGAACTTCTTTGAAGGAGGTCATTTCTCCTATTTATGGCCGTGTATTAAATTTAAAAGCTTCCGGAACTGGCAGTAAGCCCGGGGAAACCTCTTTAACGCCGGCGTCGATTGATCAACTAAATTTTGTGATATTTGCTTTACTGTGTAGTACCACTATCGATTTGATGGTCATCTATAGCTCACAAACTCTTCTAGATTCCGGCATAATCGTGCCTGTCTCTTCCCTGAACACGGGTAGCTACACGGAGCAACCGTTTGAGGGTGACATATTTCCGTGTTAAGCTTTTTCCGCACCGTTTCTCCTTCCGACCTCCTCAATCCAACCGTTATAAGCAACAGGGGAGCTCCTCCAGTAGCAATTAACACCAAGTAGAGCTTAGTGTCAAGAATACACTCTACTATGGCCTCCTTTATTAGGATACATGCTCTCTGGACTCTCAAGTTAGGAAGGTAAGAGCTTGTTACGGTACGGGATGTCATACTACATCCAGTTAAACAGTTCACAACAATTATTAGCATGATCAGCCTCTACCATCCGTACCTCAACAAGAGTCGACATGCTGGAAACATTAGGATTTCGGCATTTCGATAAAGGCTGTCACAACTCCACATCTCACGTTTTGGGAGCTCTCATCCTCCGATTGGTCGCTCCATCTATACCGACCCACTGGATCGCGTATCGCGCCTCCTTTGGCGGGATCATCACCACAGGGATTAAGTTACCGGGCAGGGTGCCACAAAAACACAAGGATCACAGAAAAATCCGCAGGAGAAACGTAAGGACGATAAGGCTATCTCTCTCTCACGGGGAGGGCCCGGCGGGGAAAGGAACAGAGGAAGGATGATTAGTAAAAGCAAAAATGATCCGCTCCCTGCCGAGTCTCACGATCTGGCTGGCTGCATGCAAGCGCCTGAGTAAAAGTAAAACACAACATCCGCGTCATAACATAAAGCCTGCTTCTCCAGCAGCAGCAAAAGGAAAGAGCTCCTCAACACCAAAGCATCACAGCATGGAGAAGTTATCACAGCAATCCTCGCTCAGTGGCGGTAACAGCGGAGGCGGGGAAGAAGGTTACGATGTCGAGTTTGAGAAGAAGCTTGTTAGGAAGCTGGATAGGCATATCATACCCGTGATTATGCTGCTGTATCTTTTCAGTTTTCTTGATAGGTACTGGACTGCTCCCTATTACGATTGTTGTTAAGGGGACAATTGAGTTAATGGCAGCTTCTACAGAGTCAATATCGGGAATGCGAGACTTTACGGTTTAGAGGAGGACCTGGGACTCCATGGGAACCAGTATCAGATCGCGGTATCGATCCTGTTTGTTACTTACCTTGTGAGTCCCTATACATACTTCCCGCATGTTAGTGCAAGAATCTTTGCTCTGATACTGTTACTGTAGCTCTTTGAGATTCCCAGCAACCTCGTGCTGAAGAAATTTACACCCCGCCGCTACAGTAAGTATCTCTATTCTTCCCCGGAACCACAACCACTGACAACATAGTCGCCCTCATCACCTTCATATGGGGTATCATAGCAACTCTAACCGGTCTCGTCCACTCCTACGGCGCCCTCCTCGCTTGCCGCCTCCTCCTCGGCGCCGTCGAAGCCGGGCTCTTCCCCGGCCTCACGGTGTATCTCACCTTCTTCTACAGCAAGCGTGAGCTGGCACTACGCATTGGATACCTCTTTGTCTCCGCTGCACTGGCCGGCGCATGTGGTGGTCTGTTAGCATACCTGATTGGTTTCATGGACGGCGTGCAGGACATGCGAGGTTGGAGGTGGATCTTGATTATTGAAGGGATTCCGACGATCATTCTGGGCATTGCTACGTACTGGTGGTTGGCTGATAGTGTTGAGACCGCCGGGTACCTATCGGAGGAAGAGAAGGCTTTCCTTGTGAAGAGGCGCGGGAGAGAGGTCGCGAATACGACAAGTGCGCAAGCGTTCCACTGGGCGGATGTCAAAAAATGCTTTACGGATTGGAAGTGCTGGGCTTTGTATGTTTCTCCTCTGCCACACTCTGAGACTTTACCAATAACTGACTCTTAGATAGTGCGTTCGCACAGTTCGGGATCGACACTATGCTCTACGGTTTCAGCACTTTCCTACCCACCATCATCAAAGCAATCGGCCATTGGTCCAACCCACAAGTGCAAGCACTAACAATCCCTTGTTACGCTCTCGGTGCAATAACCTACCTCCTCATTGCACGACTGTCAGATGCACACCAGAAGCGCGGTCTCTTCGCGATAATCTTTTGCTGTATCTCCATCATCGGATACGGGATATTGCTATCAGATGCATCCAGCGGCGTGCACTATCTAGGGTGCTTCTTGGTTGCCATGGGACTGTATGTTGCAGTAGGGCTTCCACTGGCATGGCTGCCAAACAATTGCCCTAGGTACGGAAAGAGGACTGCGGCGAGTGGGTTCCAATTGACGGTCGGGAATGCGAGTGGTATCATGGCACCATTTGTGAGTTTCCACCCCTCCTCTACGGTGGTAAATGGATGATAACTAATGGTGATTATGTGGGTTGGTAGATTTATCTTTCGGCAGATAGTCCTAGGTATATCAAGGGGCATGCCGTGTCCCTCTCGATGGTGGGATTTGCGGGCCTCATTTATGCTTTTATGTGGGTACGTAGTATCATCTTCCTTTCTCCTCGCCGTATCCTTTAGCTGAGAATTTGTGCCATGTAGTTCTGGCTCTCGAGACTCAATGCACGCCGCGCACGTGGTGATGAGGACCATCTAGTTGCCGGAATGAGCGAGGAGGATATTGCGGAATTGGGTGATGAGTCGTATGTTACCCCTTTCTTCAGACTTTCTGAGCATGTGCTGATTATTGCAGGCCGAGATATAAATACACGATTTGATGAACGAACGGAGGTACTGTGAGATTTTAGAAATGGACTCGATGCTGTTTTGTTTAATGAGTAGAAGCGGTTATCATCTTTTATTGGTTTTATTGATTTGTATGATTGAATGGCTGTAACTATACCAAGCTTTAGAAATGGAACACGAAGTATTGTAGCACAATCACTGGACAAATGGTACCTGGGAATTGCGTGCTCGGTAGAATTAGAAGCTGATGCATTGTGGAACTACACGACGGTCAGCACATAAATAGCGAGATTAGTTAGAGGCGAAGTACATACGTCCGAAGTACGTACCACCATTCGCGTTAAACGCAATTCACACATTCAATTGGACTCATTCGCAATCAAATCCCACCGCTAAAATCCGTCGAATGTGCAGCTTTAGAGCCATGGACCGAGATGCTCGAGCTGGAGAAAAGGTAGTGGATATTAGAACCCTAACCCTGACAAGCTAGCAGGTACCGTACCTGAACGCCCCTTGGGTACATACGAGATACAAGTACCCAGCAATATTAGACTCATACATACATGACAGACACGAGAATTACATGTAATTGCCGCGCAGGGTTCCAGGGATGATGATGGCCAACGGCTATCTGTAACTGTAGGGATGAGACAGAACTCTACCGCCGTCTAGCTATTGTCTGTCGCTCTGGCGCTCGCTAATGAACTCTAACAGCAATGACACCTGTCAGTACGGGGGGTTTTATTATAGATATAGCAGAAGCACATAGTACTTGTCCCAAGGCTTGATCAGGAGGGGTTTCATGCACTGTTTGGACAGTTTCATAAAAGCCACTTACCTCACGTGCACCCCACTGCTGGCCCATGAGGCTCTCTAGCTCTCGATCTCTGCACTCTCATCCCCCATTGTGCCTATGTCTCTTCTTTCAAGCTCAGGTACGAGAATAACGGTAACTACCTTCATGTACCTCCCACCTGCCCTCCTCCCTCTCCTCCCACATGTCTCGATCCATGTTGTGCATGTGCATGCAGCAGGACAACCCATAACCCATAACGTCCTCCACCACACACACGCACACACAACTAACTGCACACTACACAGCCTTGCTTGCCTACTGCCTCTGCTTGCCTTACTTACGAAGCTTCGGCAGCCGGAGCACTCACAAACCGGTAATCCGATGACTGCTGTAGCAGTAGGGCAAGCCTATCTAGAACACCTTTCTATCTCTACCTCTATCTACCCACGCTGCACTTTCCCCCCCCACCACAACAACCTCGACATAACACCCACCTCAAACAATGAATCCATTTAGGAAGAAGTCCACTGCGCCGGTGTCGACAACTCCTGTGGTAGATGTGCCGCCAGATCTCTGGGGAGATATAATACATCCAGGTATGTGTCTACCATCCATCCAGTTCTCCCCCCCACACATATTCCCCCTCCCAAATTTACCCCGGATTAACAATTACAGCGCCGATCGCCTCTCCGGAAGCTGTGGGGGAGAATCCATGGGCGGATGTACCTCCGAGTACCACTTCACCGCCTCCGTCGGTGGTGTTGTCTCCAGCTAAGCCCCCGTCAACGGTAGCCTCAACCGTGGCTGCCACAACTACCTCTCCCCCGCAACCCAAGGTTGCCCCGCGAAGCCCTCCACCACCTGTAGCTCCCCGCCGTAGATCCCAGATACAGCGGAAAGCTCCAGTGCCGGAGCCGGAGCCCGAGCCGGAGACTGTGGAACCACCAATCGACGATCCCTTCAATACCGACACCTCCGAGCCGGAGACACCACCCCTTAACCCGTTCAATAGGAGCTTTTCGGAACCGCCTGAGCCTGCACCGCCGAAGCAGAGGCAGAGCCTTGATGTTGATGCCTTCAAGCGGCTCATGTTAACGGGTTATGCCGACACTCCGCCAGCAGCTACTACAAAGGACGGATCGTCAACTTCCGAAAGCAGTGGATCTAGATTGTCTATATTCGAGCCTATACTAGAGTCCAAAGGTGGTGAAACGCCACGGAGTAGTGAAGAAGTAGATGTGGAAGGTAGACGGAAACCACCGCCACCAAGGCCTCGCAGGGTGTCTCCCCCGTTGGGGAGGAGTGCGTCGATACGACTATCAGTGCCCCCTCCACCACCGCCGGCTGCTTCGACGCTTACGTCACCTGCCACTTCGCCCCCAATTGGTTCTGTCTCGCCAATTATCAGGACTCCCAGTTCACCACCGCAAGCTACACCGCCGGCCTCGCCGGCGACATCGCTCAAGAAACGGCTGGTTCCTTCACCTCCGGTTTCGCGTCGACAGTCCGTGCGCTCTTCTGTGGAATTGGAGCGACCCTCAACTCCTAATGGTGGGTCGGGGAAAGTGAAACCCCCGCCTCCACCTCCACCAGTGAGGAGGATGAAGAGTACAAACCACAGAACCCATGAACGCACTCCAAGTACCGGGAATATGCCGCCGCCGCCGCCGCCACCTCCGCCGAGAGGCAGGACTGTTAGTGGAAGCACGATAGAAGAGAAAGTGCCGGAAGAGAAGGACATCCTAATAGATCTCCAGAAGCTGCAAAGAGAGGTCGATGAGCTGCGGGGGAAGTATGAGCAGGGCATCGTGATGGTGGAGTAGGTATATAGATACTGTAACTGAGGCACCATGTTGGAGTTCGTGCTGGGCGCGCGGGATGGGTGTGTCCCTCTTTATTTTTCTTTTTTTTATTTATATGGGTTCTATACCTTTTGCAAAGTGGTCTTTCGTTATACCATATCCAAGCTTTCTTAAGTTATTGTGTTTCTTTTTTCTCTTCATTTCATTGCGTTTCGTGGGCTGGTTTGGTGGGTGGGTTGGTTGGTTGATTGCAATTGGTGGTTGGCTGCGAATTTGACCTTTGAGTACTTGTATGGGCAGTATGGTGCGGTAACTATCAGTGATGTAGCGTGGTGTGATGTGATATAGTGATGTGAGATGGTACAGTGATATACATGAATGGAGATAATTTGGCGCTGGTGTGTTTGATAGGGTTTTGGGAGTATGGTATGTGTGTGGTGAGAATATAGAGGTTTAGGTGCGCGCAATTGGTTCGTTGGGCCCGTGGTTGTGCTGGTGGTTCGCATGAGATATCACTCGAGGTTAGCTTCCGTTATGGTGCTAGCCCTAAGAAACTCCAAGGGGATTCTCTACCGAGCGACAATTTCGACGACGTTAGTGTTCTTCGCCGAGTGATCATCTTGTGCTCTCACTCGGTTGAGGACTCATAGTCTCGGACGAGTGAGATCCCAAATCATATCGAGCAAATACACACGCCAAGCATTGCATGGTTTGCAAACGAGTGAGTGCATATACTCTCGTCCGGTCGTAGATTCACAAACGAGTGATATGCAACCGAGTGACCACCCATGAACGACACACAGGGCGTTGTCAACCACTCGTTATGTGGCTAGCTATGTAGCCAGCCCCCAAGGAATATTGATATTGATAACACATAACATTTCATCCTCCATGCACTGTGGGCAAAAGTAAACACGAAGGAGAAATATAACTCTCCAACACAGCTCTGGTCCTCTATAGCGTCCCGTTTTTTCTTATGTGTTGTCTGTCTAGCCTACAAGTACACACATGTATCTTCTTTGTACATATGATGTGCACTGCCTTTGTGTGCCGCTTTTCATCCCCACTAGTATATCAGCTTTTCCCTACACCATGAGCTGTCAGGCCTTCTTCTTCAAGTCGCATCTGCAACTACCATCCCATCCCATCCCATCTACTCCGCTCCTCCGCCAGATCACTATGCAGTTACTCGACTCCTTAGCCCCAGAGTCTGAGTCCCAAGCGCGGGGGGTAAGATTACAAATATGTGGGTCAAGCTTATGTTCTAGCAGAGTGGGTGAGCGCTACTGTTCGAGCCGAGTGACCATCAGCCGGATGTTCAGCCGCGGGTGCGCCTTCGACCGAGTGGCCATCCATGAACGATCCACAGCTTCAAGTATATGCAGTGGGGCAAACAGGCTGGTGTGTAGGCTATGACATATAGCGGAGGCTACGACAGCCGCGATGGATGATTGTGGGGCTCTTCTATATAATGTTCTGAGCTGCATGCTATGACAGGGCTCCACCATTATGTGCGTGTGTGTGGTAGAGTACATGTAGTTTATTCAAAGGCATGGCCGGAAGGTCAGTTATGGAATTAATGAATTAAAGAAAAAAGGCCACTTACAGGACTATCGAGTGATACACTGTGATGTGATGATTTAGTTTTTATCATGGGGGCAGTTGGAGGTGGCGGTATTGTGTTTAAAGGAAAATAATTTGACGTATAGGGATGCTACTTGTGTTGAGACTAAGAGGAGTGGTTGATATCCGGCTTTTTAGGTACGCAGGATTAATGATGGACTCGTGTTTCGAAATTGTAACAACCAGAATACTGAAACGTGTAGTCGTTGGTACATGTTACCCCCACTATATACCCGTTACTATCAGCTATCTACATGCTATCGTAAGATTCCCATTACTGCCCTGAGCTGAGGGGTATATATTCATGTAGTTCACACACAATGGGCCCAACCAATCCCGTATATTTAGAGTATCAATTATTCCCCACCATGCCAAACAGCACCACATCCCCAGAACCCGGCCGGCAGAGTACTTGTATCCCCCCAACCGCCAAAGGAAAGGAAAGGAGATTTCTATGAGCTCTACCTACTATAAGTACAAGAAGAAAAACCGTGTGTTTTTTTTTATACAAAAAAGTCCCCACTGCCTATCTATCCATCTCCACAATTAGCACACCCGAAACCACCACAGAGGGGAAAGACAAGACAAGACAAACAAACACACTCACCACAACACTCCACTCCACTCTACCCAATCTTGATCACGGCTTCCCCGCCTTCGGCTCCGCCTGCGCCTGCCCCACCGGATTCGGCATCCCCACGGCCTTTGCGCCCTCGGCCTCCAGCTTCTTGAATGTCTCGTTGCGGTTATACTCCATGACCCTCCTCTTCTTGAAGTACTCGACCTATGCCCCTCCAATTCACCCATAAGCCTCTCTTCCTCCCATTCTTCTCACACCAAGGAGAGAGAAACCTACCCAGCTGCCCACACACTCCTTCTCAAACGCCGCCGAGGACGGCGCACACTTCTCGCCCGCGGCGGCGCTGTGCTTGATGGGGTCGATGATGTCGTGGCGGTCCAGGCACTGGAAGAAGCTGTCGCGCGCCTCCCAGCATTTTGCGCGCTGGGTGCGGTTTGGGGCGACGCCCTCGATGGCGGCGGGGTTTGTGTTGCTGCTGCTGCTGCTGCTGCTGCTGAACCAGCCCATTGTTGTGTTTTTGTGGATCTGGTGGTTGTGGGAGGTGGTGCTAATTGGTGGCTTCTTTGGTGGAGAGGGTTTGGGAGGAAGAGTTATGACGTCGGGGGGTTGCTGGTTGCTTAGGTTGGGATGGGTGGGTGGTGGGGTTTGGGGGGTGAGAGGGGAAATGTATAGATGTGTCTGCAAATGGCTGTGGGGGAGAGTATTGGTATATTCGAGTGTGGGGGAGGGCGGAGAGAGAGGGTTGGTGTATTTGTGGGGGGGGGGGGGGTTTGTGTCATTGATGTGGGCATGATCGACAGGGCAGGTTAAGTTGTCAGGCAGAACCCGGACAAGAAAGACAGTTCGCATGAGTGGTCCGTGTTCCCATCTACTTACCTACAGAACAAAACAACTTTCTCATCCCCCCCTCCCCCCCTCCCCCTCCTCCTCCTCCCAAAACCACATACACACACAAAAAAAGAAAAAAAAACAAATGCCCAAACGACCACGCCGCATCCGCCGCCCCGCCGCAAACTCGTTCCAGCCGCTGCAGACCTTCCTCCAGATCCTCGCGCTGCAATGCATCTACTACGTCACCTCGACAGCCATGATCCTCTTCAGCGCCCTCGTCGCCGGCGTCCCTTTCGGCCTCGACCTCATCTTCTCTGCCGAGAACCTCAGGGGCGACACGGCGATCGGCTGGACCCTCGGCATCCTCTGGGTGCTTTCCGCTCTGGTTATGTTCGTTGCCTCTCCCTCCCTCCCTGTCTTCCTCTCTCTCTCTCTCTCTCTCGTTCTCTTCCTCTCCCTCCCCAGCTAGGCAGGCCCCTATACTGTACTGGTTACTCTAAGGGCCAAGCTATGTAGCTAGCTCGGACCTCGGATCGGAACGCTAACTAACGCACACTTGTTACTATCTTCTACAGGGTGATTGCGCAAACGCTGATCCACGCCCGCTCGAAGCTCGTCCTGGACTTCTCGCTCACGCTGCACTTCCTGCATCTGGTCGTGGTCGCGCTGTATGATGGCGCGCTGCCCACGTCGTGGTTCTGGTGGGGCGTGCAGGTCGTGTCGGCGATGGTGATGGTGGTGGTCGGGACATGGGCGTGCACGTGGCGCGAGCTGAGGCCGATCCCGTTTGGTGGGAGTGGCGGCGCGGGGAGGGTCGGTGTGGGGGAGGGGAGTGTTGGTGGTGGTGGTGGTGGGGCGGATGGGGGTGGGGAGTATGAGATGGTGCAGATGAAGGAGGAGGAGGTGTAGTAGCTGTAGCTGCGGATGCGGGTTTGCTTGTGGGGTTCTCTTGTTTTTTTTGTTTTTTTTGTTGGCGTTGGGATAGATCCTTTGCTGCGTTTTTGTTTATTAGTTATAGGCTTTATTCCATTATCTTGGCCGGGGGGACAGCATGGGATTCTTGTTTACTTGTTTCTCTTTTTGTTGGGTTCTCCTTTTCTGCATGCATCATCAATACGTTGTTTCCATCTCCAATCTCCCCCGTTTTTTCTTTATTCTCTTTGTGGGCTACAATATTGACACACTCCTGGGGGGTTTTTTTTTGCTGGCGGTTATCCATCCATCTGTTTAAGTTTCTTTAAACACAAAAAAAGCATCTTAATAGAATTAAAGAATAGTTAACAACTTGCCCGTCCGGCTAGCTTAGCAGCTAGTTAGAGCTGCTAGATAGCTTGAGTACATAACTAGAACTCTGTTGGTGCGTGGTGGTGATGTGTATCTGTGTTTTTTTTGGTAATTTTGGGCTGGGGATATATTGGGTTGGGGCAGAAGGGAATATAGAGAGGTCTTGATTCTCAGGCTAGATACTACATGTAATTGATGTGTAGTACCTACATAAGTACTCACTCCGCCCAATTACTAGCATCCCGCCCATTAGTGACCCAACTAATAGTTGTATCTCACTTAATATAATACACTAGTAGCCTCCTCCATTAGTAGTCCCCACGCATTATAAGAGCGCCCCGCCAATCAACAGCACCTGTCAATTCCATAATAAGTACCCCGTCTAATTGCAAGCTGGTAGTACTACCCTGCTAATCAAATCAACTAAAGGCCCTCTTACCTACTAGCTAGCAGCTAGCTAGTCTGTTAGATAGCTATAGGGGGTAGTACTGCAACATGGGTAATCACTCGGTTTCGAGGTTCTTAGTGTTGGGTGCTGGGTGGGTGTTATTACCCCCTCTGTGATAAGATGGTGGGACTGGTAATTGCAACGATAGGCGTAATATGGGTTTCTCAGTGGATGGGCTACGGGGGGGGGGGGGGGGTAGTGTGGTATGTGGGCCCTAGCTAGGGGAGCGGGGTTGATGAGGCAGTCACTGTCTTCTCTATACACCTGGTGATGACTACAGTCGACTCTCGACACAAGGGTACGCTCTAGACCGGTAATCGGTACCCCTTATATGGCATGTACCCGTATAGCAAGGGTCAATTTGTACTCAAAAAGCGCAATAAAGACCGAAGAGTCGTATCCTTATAGGGCGAGTATTCTTATAACGTGCGAGAGTCGACTGTAACACGTGAGCCATGAACAACAGCGACGAAGAAAAGGGAGAAGGGCAGAATAGGAGTGGGATAATTGGGGTGAGGTGTGAGTTTCTTTTTTAAGAAATTGTGGAGATAAGGGATGGGAGGTGTCGAGAGCTTCTTGAGATGGCGGGAGTGTAATTAAGGGGGAGGGGTTGTAGAGTAGAATAGAGTAGAACCAGGAGATATCGCTGGTAGAGAAGAAGTATCTTTACTGTATATCTAGCTAGAGGAACATAATAACCTTCTTAGCCATGTATGTCTTATATAGCACCCGTTTGGGCCGGCTGGGCCCATGGGGTTATATTATATATTCGCCGTCTGTTTTAACCCGCAGCACATGTTTTCTTTACTGTGCTATTAGCTCCAAGACTAACTATCACCTCCTCGATATCTAAAAGATACTCATTTCAAGATTGGAAGACAAATCACAGCTACACGAAGAATAATTTTAATTCCTCCCTGCGCAACGAGATAGTTGGCCGAGTGACCAACCATGACGCAGAAACCCCACCCGCCAGCATCAGGATATATCACTCGAGGGTTTGCCCCTCGGGTTTTAGTGATGGGAGAGAGGAGTGTTGTGTATTGTGTGGTGCCTAGATATTTACAAACTAGTCTGTAATCTCATTTCTCTTCTACAAAGTACAGCGTAGCCCTATAAAAACTGACATAACGGGGATGAATATATTGGTTTTACTCTCTTTGCCACTTGTCCTTACTCTCAGTAACTAGAGGCCAGATTTTATACTATCCTTGTAAATTTCAATCGGAAGATGTTTGCAGCCAACGAAGCGTCTATGTTGTTCACAACATACGTGTTTAATTTCACTCTTGTGCTGGTATACAGTTCTCTGTTTATCTCTACAATGCCCTGAACTCTACCTCCATACCCTAACATGCAGTGAATATATAGACTCCTTCATTGGGGTATGGTCAGCACTGGGGTATGGTCAATCTCAAATATACGCCAAAGTGATATATACGCAAGGAGCCGGTCGAATACCTCTCTTGGTTTCTACTCAAAATCTTGGAATTAACCACACCCCCGTGTTGACCATATCCACGTGAAGGAGCCTACAGCCACTTTGACAGTCACTGGCTGTATGCGAACCTGCCATCTAGGTACATAACCAACACCGGTCGGGGCATGGTACTGGGGCAATCCCGAATTTATTCCGCCTTATGTTACCGTTTATCGGGATTAACTGTCTCAAAGTTGCCCATAAAAAGGTACATACGGTCTATTGCTTTCTTCAAACCGAGAGGACTGAACCTCTTACTCCTACTACGGACTTATTATCTCCAGCCTCCTACGCCACACACCACACGCATCAAAACAGGTGCCAAAATCATTGACCATACACAACATTGCCAAGTATTCACATGCCTCCTTTCCATGCATAGGGCACGGCAGTTTTATATTTATATCTAATACTAGAACCTTCCATCCTAGGATCCTTCTCCATATCTCCGCGGTGGACCAAACCACTCAAACAGATCTTAAACCGGCAAGGCTATCTTCACCGTTGAAAGCCCACTCCTGGGACGCTAGATAGGCAAAAAATAAACCATTTCCGGTATTAAAATAGGTCATCTGCTCGTATCGTATACGTACAACCGAATGCACAATATGGTGATAACCCCGAGGTTGATCAATGATCATTGGCCCAATTGATGAGTTAAAAACAACAACAATGATCATTGGCCCATCATGAACATCACGATCCCATGTTTATAAAAACGAATCCTATCGGCCCTTGCTCATGGTAGAGCTGCATACGTAAGTCATGTCAAAGCTTATACGAACTGTTGCATGCATGTAATATCTGGCTCCCATAAGCCCCTTTTCTCTACCTTTTTACTTTTTTCAAGCTCCAATCTAGAGATATGACTTCCAGGCTGACTTATGGACCATGATAGTGATGACAATTATGATATATACGTACCGATCTCTTACGTAGCTGAAGCATATTCATATTCCAAGTGCACCTTACTACCATATATTAACCCCTTTTCCTTAAGTCCGACTATGTCACTGGCTTGAAAACGCCACGATGGGGAGCCCCTTAAGCACTTATACCGAGTAATCCAGGCGGACGTGCAGTTCCGGCATCTTCCAGACTACTAAAATATTGTAATCGCCGTGGCTCGCATGTCTGTGCCGCGCGTATCACTTAGATACGCCGATAGAAGAAAAAGGAACATTAGTATCTAAGCTTAATCTTAATCTCGACGGTGACAGTGCTGATCATATCACATCACCGCAGCAGATATATACGATAAGTACATGCATCCCTAATAATAGTCATCACCTCGCAACTCTAATACTACTCAACTACTAGTTCAATTCAGAGCCAGCATTCCCATGTCCAGAGAGAGGCTTATATCGACCCTGGGCCAAAATGACCAACCAATCCACCCCAAACCTGATTACTTGCCCGCCGAAATGTCTCCGCCCCCCCCCCCCCCCCTCGTATCCCAATATGCTCCAATCAGTGTTTTAGAAACTACAGACCTCCAATCCATTCACCGGCGTAATCCTGTTGCATTTCTCCACCAATCTGTAATCACACCTCATCACTCGGCCCGCCTGCCCACCCCATCCGGCCAGCCCTAACCCACCGCGGCGGCGGCGGCAGCAGTAGTATCAGCAGTAGCAGGTTCAGTGATTCGATTCGCCCGGATAGAATTGATTTCAAGCACCACCATATGTCATCAAAGGAATGCACATCCGCGTCCTCTATCTGTCAGCTTGCTAGTTTGTCGATACGCAGGCAGGTAGGCCATATGACTCTCGCATCACTTCTCTAATTGCACCAGTGATTGATTGACTCACCTTCGCTCGCAATTAATCAAGCTTCAAGAAAGTGAATCATGTCAAAAAAGGACTTGGCCGAAACCCGACACAATACCTAGTTACAAGCACAAGTAAGTGAACCACAACAGCTCGCGTATGTATCCGAACCAAATAAGCATCATCCCTAGAACACAAGTCGAAGGGCTGGGGGCTGGAATTTAGAAATGTCTCGGAAGCACCTGGCTAGCGAGCCCTACCTTAGCTACTCTATATACACACACATACTTATTCAGGTCATGTATGTAAGAGCGAGCGAGACTTTCTTTCTTTGTTCGCTCGCTCGGGAGACGAGTAAAGGCTTGTAGTCAGGTAGTGTAAGGTGTCCTTCGGGGATGTGAACGCCCGGTGTCGGTCGGTCCGGAATACTAGTAACGCCGAAGGGGAATTAAGGCGTGATTCACCTGAACCTCGCTCACATTGTGAATTGTAATCTTCGCCTTTTAATTCTAGATACATACACATCGACATACTCTACATACAAGCTTAAGCTGTGCCCAGTCCATACCTTACTCGATCAAGCCAAAGCTAGACAAAGCCCATGGGCCATCTCGTATCACCCAATCGATGGGAGAATTAACGAAATTAAATGAGCTGAGGCGATGCGGTGAAAGGCTACTATTCCGGGAGGGCTTTGCAATCAAAACCTTATCCACGCTACTGTTTAACCTGTACGTGTAATGTACATACTCTACTCCAAGTACAATACCTGGCTGTACCCAGTACTCTACCGTACCCAGGGCAAATAAGAAATAGAATAAGAATAAGAATAAGAATAAGAATAAGCAGGCGGCTGAGCTAGGAGGGTAGAGTAAAAAAGCTTTTTTTTTTCTTTCCTCTCCTGTCTCACAGGGCTGAATGGCCGGGGGCAGATCCGGTGGTTAGAGTTAGAGGTTATGGGAACGGATCGACATAGCTGTCAGCAAGAAAGCAAGAATTTAAGCAATCGGAAGGGCGGAAGGGGCAAATCGACTGTTGATTGCTGATGATGCTTAAGTGCTCCGAGTGTAGAATAATGAGTCCAGAGTGAGGCACAAACAATAGCTAGCTGTAGGTGAGGAAGTGCGCTTAGTAGGTAGGTAAGAAGCACCTATCTCAGCGATACACAAACGGCCGACGGATAGCACCGGCGCCGAAAATTAAAAGCGCACATTACTTTTCGCTTCTTCGCTTTTTCTCGCTTTCTCACCTTGCACTGAGCTGCACTCGAATCATGTCATGACTAACAAGTAGGTTAATTACCAAACATTGTATTAACGCCGCACTTTATTTTTTACTTCGCCAATCCTCTCCCTGCTTTTTGCACTGCGGCTGAAAAAGAAGTACAACCGGGGCTTGGTTTTTAGAGTTAGTTATTCATGCTTATCGAGCAAAGACCAAGGCCGGAGGAGTGCCGATACTTCCATACCTAGATCTGATTCATGCCTTTCTACATACATACTCCAAGGAGGGCCGGAGGGGGTGAAACGAAAAAGAAGCGAGAAATCCCACCAACCATTTTCACAGACAGAAAGGTTTGCCATGGAGGAGGAGGAGGGGGATGGGAAGCACCGCCTCCGGCCGCCGCAGCAAGCAGTAGATAGCGTCGTGGGGTCCTTGCCTGTCTGTATCCAGTGGTTGGCTGGCTGGATGCTCTGTTTTCTCTTTACTGCTTGTTTCTTGCATCTTCTGACCTTAGCTGGTATGCCACCATTAATGAATTGTATGCTACATATGGGATGGTGAAGCAGCTCGGTGTGGTGCTTACATTCTATATTATGACTTTTGATCAGATCAGATGAGAGAAGCATAAAGCACAATTAACCCGAACAAACAAAGAGCCAAATCTTGACTTTCTCTCAAACTCCAAAGGGAGGCTCTCTCGAGCACGCCCCATTAATGCATGCAGGTGTTTCTCTAGGCGAGCGCTTAATTTAAACTCCCCTCCCCCATACCATACCCACCCTCCATCCCACCAAAGCAATTTATGCTTATTTATTAATACCGTTTCTCCGCAAATGGGTTCATGTCAGTTCAGCCCCCACGTGGAGAAATAAAAAAGAGAGAGTTCAAGAAAACGTAAAGAAAAAGAAAAAAGGCGAGCTCTCAATTATTCCAAGAGGGTATCAAGCATCAAGCCCTCGACTCGATTCTCTACGTACCCCGGGGTTGGTTACCAGTTCATGTAAGCTGTAGCTGTCTACCTGTAGCTGGATCGAAGCTTTTTTTTTTTTTTTCCCTCGTCGCTCTCCCCCGCCTAGGCCTCTTTTCTTTTTTCTCTCTTTGTCCCTCTTCCTCTCTCCTCCACTACATACTGCGGTAGATGATCTGGTCCTTTCAAATTTAGACCTTTCTTTAATTCAGCTGGCATGTCAGTCAGTCAGCCAGTCAGTCAATTCCAATCTCGGTCTATCGGCTACCCGCATCATGATCACCCTCCCTCTCGTTTCACGTAAACCAAACCACTGGCTGGCTAATACCTTAGGCGATCCCTCCCTGCCCCCGTTTCCTTCGAAAAAGCAAAAAAGCAAAAAAAAAAAAAAAAAGCTTGTGTGCTTGACCGCGTAAATTAATTGGGTTGGGGGTGAGAGTACGTATGTCGTACCTGTACTCTCTACTTACTCTAGCTAGCTAGAGTAGTTACTTTAGAGTAAGTAATGTAATAAAGCCACCACTCACAGCTAGCAGTAATAACAACACCAGGGATTCGAATTCTTACTGTACATAGTACAAGCTAGTTACATACTTCCTTTTTCCTGTCATGGCTTTGTTCGGTTCTTCGGCACCGAAGGGAAGAAGGACATGGTATCTTGCCGGTTCCGTGGGAGTGAAGGAGGGAGGGAGAGAAGTATCGAGGGAAGGAAGTAGACGAGGAATGGGGGTTCCAGCTTGCCGTTGTTGCGAAGAGCGAGGGAGGGTATACGTATACCACGGGCTTGTCCTCCGCACCGGAGACAGCGGTATGATGAAGCTTGGCCCTTTGCAATTATATTTGCTTGCTTCCTTAGGTGATATCTATAACCCATACATACAAGTACCTTAGTACTGTGGGCCGGTTTAAGCACGCAAGGGCAAAAGTTTAAAGTAGAGTGGAGAATATATATAATTATGCAATCTACTTTATCAGTAGTAGCTAGAATAGAGTAGAATACTAGTTCAATTACGAACAATACCAGCAGCAGGAGGAGTACCTCGCTCCAAAACAGACAGCAAGCAGCACACATTGAGAACATAACCACGTACCACTCACTCCACATTCATTCCAAAGCCACCTGGCACCGATATATGTAACAGCCTTCTCTCTACTAGTATACCGCCATAACCAGGAAAGAGCCCAGATCTAAAGAGCAATTAAGAGAGAGAGACAGAGAGGTACGTACTCACCCACCACACCCTCACGGAACCTTCCATGTAGTTACTGTGCGTTTAAACATTAAGCCTCATTCCCTCCTTCTAATCCCTGGGGATTCTCGGGGCTATTACCGGTATGGCATGGTAGATAGATGTAGGGTAGGGCTTGATATTAATAACATGAGCTTATGCCCTAACCACCTTACGCTTTGAAGGGAGTATGAGTGAGTGGCATTGAACGTTTCTCCTAGGGTTAGGTTGAGGTAGGTAGCCTGATGTAAAGCTGATGTACCTCCTGTACCTATTTATTCCACAAGGGTACATTAAAGGTACCATCTGCTGTTAGTGGTGGTTGATCAATATTGGCGGTTGGTGGTGGTGTAGGATGATCGTAATTTTTTTTCCCGCAAAGGCTTTTTTGTGATCTCTCATCTGATCGAGCCCAGCCAGATTCGTTTCCCAGGATCCAGGTGCATGATATGAGGGCGCAACAGGAGGAGGGGTGTCAACCACATCCTACTTGCTGATGAAGCGATTTTTCTTTCTTGTCATGTATGGTATCTCAGATAGCAGTACCGATGGCAATAATGGTAGCAGACATGAAGAGCATTTTCAAATGTGTGTGATATGATGATGGTGATCGAGCATTATTTTTGTTTCTGTGATGACATGATGCCCCTTAGAAGGAAAAGGAAAAAAAACACAAAACGATCCCTGGTATTTCCCCATTCCCCGCCAACCAAAAGTCCAATCTATCCCTACTAACAAAGAAACAAAAACTACCAAGGAAAAAATAAACAAAAAATCCGGATACCGCCAATGTTAGGAAAACCTTTGAGGAAAAAAATAAAATATGAAAACCACAGTAACTCAATAAACAGAGGGAACAAAAAAAAAGCCAGACAACACCAAAAGGAAAACCCAATCCCGAATGGTTTACAAATGAAAATGGAATAGTAAGTAGTAGTAAGGAGTAGGATCCAATAATGTAAATGAAACGAAAAAAGGAAATGAAAGCAGATATAATAAACACCCCCAAGCGATGCCACAATTATTTCCAAAAAAAACAAAGCAAAAACCCAAGATTTTTCTAGTTATATCCTTTTTTAATCGACGTGACGTGCTTATGCAGCAAAGCCCCGGTCAAGTACTCTTAATGCCCGGATATCCTCGCTGAATCCCAATTTCACGGCAGGAATATCTTGCACCTCAAGCCCACTCCTCTCGGGGCTTCCGGCCTCCATTCCGTTGGGACTCTGTCTTAATGGGTTGATGTCCCAGTTATCTCTCGAGGGTGACCGTTGTCCAATACTATTGGCGGGTGAGGTGTAACGATCCGATTGTGGAACGTGGGGAACAGGAAGGGCCGGCGGCGGACTGGACTGTTGCCTCTGATGCTGCGCATCAGCCATTCTGGGGGAACGGTGGAGGTGCATTAAGGGTGATCCCAAAGTGCGATGGGTTGCTTGTGACGGCAGAGAATCTAGATGTGGCAGTGGCGGTCGATCGTACTGCATTGGTGAGCCACCCGAGAGGGAAGGTGCGCTGTACGACATGGGCGAAGAAGCGGCACTATTTGGTGCTGGAAGCTGTGCTTGATTTGAGTAGGACAACTGGAGCGGAATGTTTGTGGGAGGTGTCGATACAGGACTAGGTGGCCAACCGTACGGATTCACGCTTTGAGGGTAGTTATTGGGGTGGGTAGCGCCCTGTCTCGGTATTAAAGAGTTTGGAGACGATTGATGAGGAAAGTTCGTAGCGATCATGGGGCCCCTGGTGACCATAGGAACATTCTGCTGCTCGTGGACCGTGGACTCCGGGTACATTCCTTTAGCGGGCCTGATGTGTTTCAATTGGATGTCCTGTGTGGGCTGCATCAGATTCTGCGATGACGGATGTGAACGGGCGTAGTAACTGATGAGATGCAGTTTCTGGTGAGTTGCTGTAGTGATGGAAAACGACTGCTTCATTAGACCATCCGGTTTATAACGGTACCCATCAGGCCCCTCAATGTCCATGCCCTCCGAATCACTATCTGGATTCGGCGATTTTCCTCCCCGGCCAGACACGGCAAGAGTCGTTACTGGGGGCGCAAACGCATTTCCTCCTCGTTTCCCCTCCATCTCTCTGTAGGTCAAGAAACTGCCTGACACCCTGCTCGCACTCCATGACTTCCCATCCGTCCACCGCCTCATTCCAGCCTCCCTCTCATCCCAAACAAAGATACTCCCAGACTTGATGTTTTGTCGCTCCTTCTCCGATAACCGGCGTTGTACCCGAGGAAGCAGACCTATCCTACAAGCCTCGAACAAAACGATAGCGTCGGCCGGTGACCGTACATGACCATGGTAAGTTTCCATAGCTAAATATTATTTCCCCTCTGAGTCGAATCAAACGGCTATGATTGAGGGGTGCAGGTAGTGGGGGGTTGCGTGATCCTATGTGAGTTGCAAAATATTATGTGATGTTTTCTGTAGTGTGTGACTAATTCTGCTTGTTAGTCTATGCAAGATGATATGTGACTAGATTTTTCTCTCTTTGTTCGTGAGGTATGGGAGGGGCGACACCGACAACGCAGATGAAGAGGAAGATGGAGGGAGGTGGGGGGGAGGTTTATGTACCAGTACTGATTTCCTGTTCAAGCAAGCCTTTTTTTTTTAAAGACAGGTGGGCGAAGGAGGGGACAACGGTGAATGTTGGTGACGTAGATGACTCCCGTGTATGGATGAGCGTTGGTAGTAGTGGGTCGAAGGGCCGTTGAGAGGAATGTATGGTTGGTACACACGAGGAGGGATCGAGAGGTTTCTGAGAGAAAGAAGGTATGAAAAAAGAGGAGGGGACCGCGGGAATATGTAGATGAAGGGGGGGGGGGGAGAGAAAGGAAGGATGGAGGGGAGAGCGGCGAGGTATATCTATGATTATCGGGGCGTGTAGGCACCTTGGCTGCTGCACAAGCGGCGGCGGGCGATACTCCCACTTCTCAAACAGCCAGTAGTCAACAAGCAGTAAGGATTGGAAAGTATCGCTCGGCTTCTCGGCGGCGGTCAGTATGGATGATGCTCCGGGGGTCAAGAGATTCTACTAATCGAAGCAACAACTCGCGGCACAGGCTGTCTCTCATTCTGTCACTCGCACACACCCACCATCTCTATTACCACACACACACCCTCTCCCACACCTAAACCAAAAAAAAAAACGTTTAAGCATGTAGATGGTTAATTCCGATACAAATAGAGTACGAGTATAAGGTCACAATTATAGGGAGAGAATGAGTAAGTATGCTCTAAATTATACAGTTACAATTACAAGCCTTGGGATCAAAATATGGTACGCCAACGATCACCCAGCGAACAACGAACAGGGGAAAAGGAATAGGAAAAATAAAACAGAATAAGAAATAATAAGAAATAAGAAGAGCCACGCGGAAACATAACCCAGGAACACCGATAAAACATGTACATGGGTATGCGGTAACTCAGTAGTAGTAGTAGCAGTGGTGACCAGGTACTTCATACAGACACATACAGACAGACAAACACATCCAACTGTGGAGACGGAGAAGATCGAAACAGTCTATAACCGTCGAAAGTCGGACGACGACGACGACGCTTACGCTTGCTTGCTCTTGTTCTCGAGAGAGAGTCCTCTAGCTGGCTAGGCCAAGTATCATTTCGCGCCATGACTTTCTCCGCCCTCTCTTTGATCCATGATCTTGAGCCTTGGCGCCTTGAGGTTCAATAGTAGTACATACATCCGGTCTTTTCTATATCTCCACTTATTACGAATAAAAAAAAAATTTCTTTCCTTCTTTTTTCTTTCCTTCTTTTTTCTTCGATTCATTTTCCTATTCTGATTCGATTGTTCTTTTTCCTATCTCTATCTCCTATTTCACATATGCATGTTTGCCTCTATATATTATCATCTACTGACTATCACCATATTTGATTTACCCTCTTTCCGGTAAACTGCCTGAAGGATAAGCCAAGTGACAAATCCGGCTTGGAACTTATCAACATATTTAATTACTGCTTTCGTGTGCCTGGTCTCTCCCTTGCGCGGAGGAGGCGGAGCATGAGTACGAGTCGAGTAAAATAGAGAACAAGTAAGGTAAGTTACGTGTGCGTCGTATGGTAGCGCAAAGATTCGTAAAGTAAGATCCACGGAGCATAAGGAATCCGTGTGGCTTAATAGACTACCCTATCCCTATCCTGCAACAGTAGCAGAGCCGCGACTCGCGTTCATTCCTTCGTTTTCTCTTTCCCTCATGAACCACCCACACCCACCCACCACCACCCCAAAGGAGGCATGGCAGGCTGGAATGTGAAATTAAGTGGAGGCTGCTAAATGCTTAGAAGGTGCATTTACTTCGTGCCGAGAAAGCTTGGAGACCCCCTCCATGACGATTACGCTATGCAGCACGTTCATAAATTATAACAGCGAATAAAATCAGATTTATTCGACCCCGTGCAGAATTCCACAGAAGTGTTTAGGGAACCATTATAGCTAGCTTGCTTCCTCTGCATGATACATTACTTAGCTGGTACATGGACTTTGAAGGAGCAAACTGAGCTGAGAGTACCATTGCTACTATCAGTTTTCAGCAACACCATGGACGCCTCCGGCTTAAAGAGCTCCCTTCTCTCTTTAGCTTTCATCAAATGGTGCCAGGCGATAGCTAGTATGGAAGGATGAACGGATCGATGTCTTGCTGAATCTTCTTCCAGTTGGTACCCTCGCCATCAATTTGTCCTTCTACTAATCACAGTCATGAAACTGACTGACTACCAGTATGCTCTGAAAACGGTGGCATCTGCATCAAGCCTGGAATCGTAACCATACATAAATACATATTTCCTCTTGCCTACACTAGTACCTACGTCTGATATAGACAGACACATTCGTACCTACCTTATTTCTCTGGGTCTCCGTTATAAAACGGAGATTATCATACAACCCCGGAGCTCCCCTTCCTTGGATTTAAGACCCTTCTCGGAAGCATGGGATATCAAACATCCAAATATCTGTCTACGCAACAAGCAACGAATTGGTATCATCCTATGGGGTGCAGGCATCTTGGGAGTTACTCCTGGAGTAATCTGTGGCGGAACCTTCCACACCCAACAGTATGGGGGAGGGGGGGTTCAGTTGGGTGGGACTAGTGGCGCTTCTTCTTACTTTACATAAAGTTTGGCTAAGGATGGCTGGCTGAATTCAATGCTCGATTGAATGAACCTATTATTTCTTGTGGGCTGCTTGACATTGATCTGGCTGACGACGCGTGGTCGGGGGTACGGTTTGATGTCAACGCCGGCCTGTCTAGGTAGCTCATGCCCAATCGTCAAATGAAGCCCCATTTCCTTTCATCCCCCTTCACTCGAAGCTTCTTCTAGCTAAGGCAAGGCAATTACTTTAATAATTGAGATCATCCCTCCCTGGCCTGGAACAGGTGAGGACGGAGGGTGCCCGGAGTGAAATTGTGGAGAAACCCACCCCTAAAATCCGAAAATGAGACTAGTGGGGAAAGCGCAATTTTACCACAAATATCTTTATCTGAGATTAAGACCACGAGTACCTAGGGGGGTTTGCTATCTGATCCGGGATCGAGGCTTGCAGACTAACCGATACCCCGAATGCTTGTTATGATATCTGCCTATCATCCAATATCGATACGCATAGCGAGGATGTGTTATTTATTACTTGAATTCCTTTACTATTACCTACATAGGTAATATATCTCTTGGGCATTTTGGGACAAGGGCCCGATCATGCTTTATTCAATTGATTTTGAGAATATGTCTTCTGTTCAATCGGATGGATGGGAATTCCTGCGCAGGGTTCGATACCTGCAAGACAGTTTTAACTCATTACATCACGCAAATAAGGCGTCTGGCCGGGAGAACGGTCCTGGTCCACAAAGAAGCCAGAGATCTAGACAGATTGTAAGACACGCCGCCCATCACATCGGTCGGTAGGTAAAAATAAGAAGAAGCTTAAAAGATACACATGTACTATTCCGAGGTTCGGAATGTCCGGTGGCCTGCTTGCAGTTTACGTTTACTATACACGTTATAGTTACGCGCGCAGTGCACAGAGGCGGCAACCAAACGAATGATGCTCAGTCATAAGAGGGATTGCGTCTCAAGTACAGCCGCTGCCCTCGTCAGCTGAATAAAGCCCCATAAACCATCACGATTCTCATGTATGTACTCTATACAGAGAGGCAACCTACATGAAAATACCCGTGTCTCCCGGATCTTCCAATAAATGGAAGTACCGGCACTGATACATCGTTCTTTCAAAGCAAAAAAAAGTGTACCCTGCCGCGCTGCGGAATGACGGCGGAGGCTGTTCTCGGTACCAAGTAATCATATGGGTATCCCAATTCGCTCGCAGACAGGTTCTGAACGGTGAACTCAGATCTAGAGTATCGGATTCATCATCATCACCAATCCGCATGAGACCCTTAATTCGGTTCCACATCATCGCAGAGTACGCCGCGCCGCGGGCAAGCTCCCTCCTCGGACCCTCGTGGCGCCGATTAAGTTATCAGAAAATCATTTGTGAAGCAGCAAGGTTTATTTAACTTTGAAAGATATGAGATACTGTACAACTATACCAACTCCACTGCACTGCGCACCGATACTTTATTGGAATCCAAGGCAATTGCACCTCCTCCACCAAAGCAAGATAAACACAAATCATCATAAGTGGGCGGATACAACACTCAATTGCCATGCCATGCCATTCAAAAAGTGTAATTTGAAACCTCCAAGGCAACCTAACACAATTCAAGACAAGGGAGAGAAAAAATAGCCTTCTTGGGGGAAAATCGCCGAGGTGGAACAGTTCTTAATTGCACAAGCTTCTCGGAGATCTTGGAATCGATGGAAGGTCCCGGGCGGAGTTCGTTCCTTTCCCTTCTATTCCCCCCACGGCAGTGTTAATTACGTTAATTACGTACTATATCCTGTATGCCGTGGCTTTTAAGTTCTAACTGAGGTTTCAACCTTCGACAGACGCAAAGAACAAAGATTGGCACCCGCCTAGCACACTGCAAGGCTGAGCAGATAGAAAAAGAGCCGAACCTTAGTAAGTGGAATGCCAGATTCCAGCATATGATAGAGTGCCAACGTGCTCATATTGTTAATATGGACGAAGGGGAGGTTTGGTTTTTAGATGATCCCTTCAAATAATCCTTTTCCTGTTTGCCCGGTCATTTTCTAAAAAAAAAAAAAAAAAAAAAAAAAAAAAATGTGGGTGTTGCTCAGGAACGCACGGGACTTTTACCATAAAAAGCAAAAAATAAGCTCAGAAAAAACTCAAATTTCACCTCCATCCCTATCTCCGCTCCGCCGCTCAA